GGGCCCCCACCAAGGGCAGTAGTGGAACGACGCGAATCGGTCCCAGTGTGGTTGCCTTGCAACTGAAGAGACTCGAGGAAATCATGCCATTCGCAGTGACCCAGAAAAGACTTTTGCTTCTTAATTTGACGTTTTACATACTTTATTCGTATTACTTTCCAGGCAATTATAATTTTTATTGGTCAAATGAATGAACGAGACATCTTGATACTATTAAATGCAGTCTAGATAGTATCAAAACCATAATTCGATTTGTCGGACATATATAAATGACACTTGAAAACACAACACACATAGCTGCAATATCCGTAGCATTTGGCACAGTCGGTTCCCACGTTCTATCATTTTGTGCGGTCATCATAAAATAAGGAGGTACGGTTGATTAGACTAGGGAGGTTAAGATTAGCGTAAAAATATACGTGTACCTATCCCTATTCGTATGTTTGTTACGGATGCGTATAGGTAATGCGTATTGCAAAATGAGTTTAAGATTAACGTAAAAAGCTACGAAACCGTATGCTACAATTTATGATAAAAAATGACATCCTAATTATAGAATAAAAACCATGCGATGGCTTATATGGTATATACCAGTACATGTCACCTCCAAGAATGTTATATACTTCAGAGAGAGTGTGGTGTAGCTACTGTAGTTGGGAGGGGGTGTTGCTTGTGGGCCCGCTTAAGGCGAAATGTTAAATTTCTAGCATGATCCAGCAATGAGAGTGACCAAAAGTGGAGTTAAACAATTCAAACCACGAGAAAATGGCTGATTTCATACATTTACAATAAGCAAAACTTATGAAGAATGTGTAAATTCAACAATTTCATGCATCATCACATGGCATCGTTTATCGCATCAATCATTCAATGAATGTGTTCGACCACTTAATTTCTATGCAGATCGAATGAGAAATGTTTGTTGTTACTATTTTAAAGTTTAATGGATGATATTTGATCTAGAAATGACATAATTTGTTGGATAAAAACATACGTTTTCGAATTACCTATCTTTGGCCATTTATAGGTAATTACGTATCGTAAACCCTGTAACTTAGGTAAAATGCCGCTTAGTGTAATAACAAACTACGTATAGGTATAGGTAAATGGGTTATTTACGCTAATCTTAAACTCCCTACTATGAGCTTTCAACAGAGTCAAGAAATTGGCATGGATGGCATGGATACTTTGAAAAATAAGGTAGCAACAAAGGGAAACACCGGAAATAATCCAGCAATGTCCACACCGGAGGAAAAACAGCATTCATGGGTAGCTTATTTTTGTACCATTTAGAGCCATGACTTAAACTCAACCAAGAACGGTGGGGCAAAGTCCCTATGGGTCCCAATTGAGAATCAATTCAAATCAAAATCAAATTGAGAATCAGATGACCTGTTAAGCCTAGTATTGATTTTAGACATGTGTCCAATGTTTCAAAATAATGAAACTGAAATATTGGGCAAAATAATTGATATTTCGTTTGTAGGATGAAAACTGATGATAGAAATAATATCAGTAGCCAAAACTGTGTAAGCAATTTAAACATGGAAATGTTGCTAATTTAGAAGTATGATATGAAAAGAATGTTTGTGCAATGGTTAGAAAATGAAATAACTTAATAGGATCATTGAGGCACACATTTATAAAAATCACACTTGGATTTGGAAAGATTAAAAGTAAAACAAATGAATGCGTTTCTTACTATCTCCATGACAACATATCTTGCTCTCTCTCCATGACAACATTTTTGGCCCCATCAGTACAAGATCGAAATCAAGTTCAATAAGCAATGTGAAACTTTATATTTCATAGCACAATTATTTATTTCTACCAATGAAACAATACAGTATAAATAAATGTTTACTTCATTAAATACAGAATTTACCACACATAATTAAAATTTTATGAAGTACATGGTTTACCTTAATCAAACATAAATAACAGAATTATGACGATACGTATTATGAAATACAGAAATTAATGGTTAACTGGAATTAAGTTTGTTGAGACGACCCCTCAATCCGAAACGCCTAGCATCAGTCAAACAATTTCTGGCCGCAACTGAGATGTAAAGATGTTCAAAGATTTTAAATAAAGCTTTATATGAAAATATGTCTTTGCGCGATAAACTTTTAATTGAATATGAATATATAAAAAAAAACAGATTAACATCCAGTCTCATATTAAAAAGTTTAAAGTTAAAATATTTTGGAAGTATATATGTTGGTTTCGGCACAATGCGCGTCGGTATAATGGGTTTCGGTATAATACGCGTCGGTATAATGAGGTGATCCCATTCTGGCATCTATGCTAAATCAATGAATGATTGAAACATATCTCTCTGTAAAGTACTTTTTAATATCTGGATCGATAACGAATGTGTACTGTATTCTTTTTCCAGAAGTACGTGTTCATCTCAACCTGACAGTTTAAGATGAAGTTTGATGAAACCTTGGGTTTATTGGGAGGATTCGGAAGATATCAGATATTCGTATTGATAGTATGGAACATATTCTATTCTGGGAATAGCTGGCAGTATTTCCTGACTATATTCATCGCTGGTAAGATGGACCATTGGTGTTACGTCCCCCAATTGAAACACTTGAATGAAACTATGCAGAAGTTGATTGCTATCCCTCAGACGACCGGTCCTCTGGGTGATACTGTCTACAAGCAATGTAGTATGTTTAACTATAATTACACTGCTATCAATTTCACCGATCCTAGTGCCATTCCTCCATGGGTAGACAATGGGTCAACTCCTGAAATTGCTTGTAACAACGGGTGGGTGTTTGATAAGTCAATACGGGAATCGACAGTTGTGAGCCAGTTTGGACTTGTCTGTGAGAATGACTGGATGTTCACGCTTCCTGCCACGTTCCAGATGCTTGGACTTCTATTTGGAGCTCTCCTTTCCGGGTTGATCTCAGACAGATTTGGAAGAAAGCGAACAGCGCTTGGTATGTTACTATGTTCCATCGGTGCCATCCTTGGAGGATCATTTTCGAATAATTTTGTCGTGTTATTGGTTATGCGTTTGCTGTCTCTTTTGACGTCTATCGGAGCTTACACAAGTCTTTGGGTCCTCACTCTTGAGATGATGCCCCCCGTACATCGGACACACGCTACATTCTTTGCATCTTTAGTTCGCATACTAGGAGCGTTTTTGACGCTTACGGCGTACTTCATAAGAGGCCATAAATGGCTCCAGATCGTATCAGCATTTGTGACCATTCCTGGTCTCGTTGGAATATTTTTTCTGTCGGAATCCCCTCGGTGGTTGATTGTCAAAGGAAGATATCGAGAAGCTGAAGTTATATGTAGGAGAATCGCTAAAATGAATAACGTAACTCTTCCCGACGACTTTACCTTAAAAGATGACGTTACAACAAAAGAGTGCACGGGTGAAAAACCTTCGAAGAAAGTATCGGTAATCGACATAATCCGTACACCGACCATGAGAAAAAGAACGTTACTGCTTTGGGTCCAATGGTTTGCTGTTGTGTTTGGTTCCTACGCTATGGTGCTTAACGTCGGTACATTGATACCCGGAGACGTTTACTTAAACAATTTCGTGGTTAATGGAGTCTCTGATCTCATTTCTCCAATTTTTATGTTTATTGCATTATTCAAAATGGGTAGGAGAGCCATAATCATTTCGTTCTTTTTCGTGAATGGGGTTTTGTCCTTGGCAATGATTGGCCTATTGCCTACGAAGATCATGGCATTGACCACAACAACCGCTTTGTGTGGATCCATACTCATCAATATCGTCTTACGAGTGCTGTATCTATACAGTGGAGAAATATTTCCTACCCCTGCGAGGAATGTCGGGATTGGTAGCGGCTCCAGTGTGGGCAGAATCGGGGGTCTAATCAGTCCAAATATACCTTTGCTAGGGAGTATTTGGTACGGACTGCCTTATGTGGTATTGGGAGTTTTTCCTTTAATTGCGGGGGCTCTGGCTTTCCTGCTTCCAGAGACGAAGGACAAACGCTTACCAGAAACCTTCACAGAGGCAGAACTATTCGGCACTGACAAGGAAGTTTATGATGACAACGAAATTGTTCATAACACTGACGGTGAGAAAGCTATATTCGGCACTTGCCAGGATGACGATGACGCAGAAAGTGTCCAAAATGAACAAAGTAATGAGAATGCATGTTTCTTGAAACCTAATGGAAATACGTGAAATATTAGACTGAAATGATCTGCAAGTCAATCTATGATGGAGAAACTCAGTATTCCACGGTTTCAGTGATGGAAAGAATTAAATTGCAGTGAGAAAGCTAACAATTTGGATTAAATTGTATCAACCAATATGGAAATCAAACGTAGAAGGGGTAGTATAAATGAAAAATAGCCACTTACTAATGTCAAGACGTTAATATCAATTGCGTAGCTATGTGTGGCCAAAGTGCGTACACTATATAGAGATAAATCATTTTTTGTAAAATACATGTAGATCGAAGTTTTGTATTTATTCCCAATAAACTCAAATAATTGTAGATTTGTTTTCGTATATCTAGATACCCGTGTCGTCAGGCTATACAAATCAAGTTACGATTATGAATAAATATAACAAGGCATTAACAAGACAAAATGTCGCAAACAGTTACTGGAAGTTGTAAGAAATCGTAACAGACGCCAACCACCAAACTCCGGTCACCCAACCGCCGAATGCCGAAACCCCTCCACAGAAAATGGAGACTGTAACAATATGTCACCACTTCTGGTAAATTATTTATAACCCCGAGATGGCATTGGATTAGAAATTTGAACACCATAATTTCTCACCATATAACAATGTCTTTGAGCTTGCATTCGACACTATTCCATTCATATTTAAATGGGTTGGTCATGAAATAGTATGTTAATCCGGTAGCCGACAGCCGAATGTTGCATTCGTGAATACAAGAATATAATTTCAATAGAAGCAGCATTAGCTTTGACAATTGCCAAGTGACCGATAATTGATAACATGAGACAATGTACATAATTATACAATATATTTGTGTCATTTACATAATTATATCCAATCCAAAAGCATGTATTATTTACAAGCATGGATGATTCACATTTAATAACCCTTGAAAATATTTCAAGTCAAAATAGCATCACAATCGAGTAATGTTAGGAAGAACTTGGTGTGAGTTGCAATGTCACTGTATCTACAGTCCGGTTGCATCACCTTCATGGCTTTTAGCAAATGTAATTACGAATTCATAAATGGAACAACTTGTTCACAATGTTTCTGACGATCGTTTTTACTTTGCTATGCGCTTTCCTTTTTGGATATGTGTGTACTTCGTTTAAGTCTTCGTTGAAAGTTACACATTTCTGGACGAATGAAGTCGATTTCTTAGGAGATGATGAGTCGGGGTTGACTAGTCTGTTGTTGAGGGTGGGATGCGAAATGGTCCCTCTGTAGATCCATATGTCGTCGCCTTTGGGCTCGATGGGCTTCTCCAGGCGTTGTGTGGGGAGCATCCTCAATCTTGGCCCAAACTTTGTATCAGACTCGTGCTTGTGGTTAATGTCTACGTGCAGAGCAATTTCGTCGAGAGTCGCCATTACGTCGAGCGTTGTTGGATCATCATTTGTTGATGTAAGGAATCCCATGTCCACTCTTTCGCTTATTGGTTGTGATGAAACATTGCAGTTGGTGTTGATGTTGCGATTCGCAGCATTTGCTGCCATGGCTACCTCACACGCTTTATCAAGAGAGGCGTGTCCAATGGGGTCAGCACACATTCTGGCGTGAATAACATTCCCATGGAGAACATTGTCTTTAAATCCTTCCCTTTCCAAAGACGAATTAACTGATTCCTTCAATGCGCTAAAGTATTTAGTAACTTCAGAAAGTCTATCGTGTGCACGAAACACGCTAGCAAGATTCTTAATCGCATGCTCTCCTTTACTTGACGTAACATGAAAACCATTTCTGCGAACAAGAGGCTCACACTGTTGTAGTAGTTCGGCGTTTCTTTTGGACCTCATGATCAGGTATGTGGGGTAGTGCGTGTGGTCAAAATCACTCATCGCTCCCTCTCGAATACGTTCCAAATGCGCCCTGGGTCGTTGTATCGTAAATTGTTTGTACACAGGTAGAGGGTCCTGAAAATATAAAGTCATTCTAGATAATTAAATTAATAACATTAAATTGATAACATGCTTCATATTCTAAATGATGTCTCTGCTCAGGTTTAACAAATGCAAATACTAGTTATGTAATAAATGTCTGTTCACTTCGATATCTTTTTGAGACTGAACAAGCTGTCATTTATACTTACCATAATGAGCATGCGTCTATTCAGCCTTGCAAATCGGATCATTAATTCAGAAGTTCCAGATCCTACACCAACTGTAAACCCCATTCCTCGAATCTTTTGCAGGTCGGGTACAGTTTTATAGTTTTTCATATATTCTCTGAATTGTTTCAATTCATCTTTGAGTCTGTTGGGACACTCCAAATCTAGGTAATAACGAGAGATTAGAGGTGCGTCCTGCATTTCGGTCTCTGCTTTGGCTGGTTCCTCTGTACAATATGTGGTATTCTGCATTGGTCCGTGGTTACCATGGATCACTGATTCATCAGCTTTCTCTTTCCACTCGAAACAGGGGAAATGTGGAATACGATTTCCGTCCAAGGAGTACTTGGGATTTTCTTTGACCATTTTCCCTACGTTACCACTAAAGACGTTTTTCTTGACGGTCGACATGGTCCTTAGGTATCCTCTTCGTACCTTGCCGCATACTGACATATCGCTTGCCATTTTGTTCGTTTAAAGCGCAGAGAAGTAAAAAGCCTTGCTGTTGAGTCAAAAACTAACAGAAACTAATTTTGGTTGCTATAAACTTCAGTTACTATTGTTTTCTATAGTGACATAATGGAAACAACATTTGCATTGTTTTTGGTTTGTGATGTCACAATAATAGATATGTTTTGATTTCTCATTCTCCCGATTTCTATGCCAACCCATATGACGTATTGCTAATTTCACAGATATGCTGATTGTTCTTCTATTGCCATCATCACTACATAAGTTATGCAGTATGAATTCTTCGACGTCATTATTTCAATTGTTCTTTCGTGCCAAATCGCGTTGCTATTGTGATCTGTATATTGATTTTTGTTGCGAAACTCGTTCTTCAGTCCAAAATTTGGCTCCTCAATGTTCTGATCAGGTCTACCATAGTTTAAAGAGATAGACTAATGTTTAATAAATGTCCATGTGCATTTGTGTAAAATGATCCAGAAAGATTTGCCAAGGGAGGGGGCGAGTTTTGGGTATTGATGGGTCGTGCGTGAAGCGCGCTGCACGCGAAGCATGCACGCATGGGGCATTCCCCCAGAAAATTTCCAAAGTAGAGTTCTCCGGTACATTCTGAACATATCTCAGAACATTCCCAATAATAAAAACTTGAAAAAATTATGTTTTTAGAAAACTGAACTTGACTTCATGACTAAAAAATTTGACTAATGAAAATATACATTTTGCACTTATTCTTTAATGTATTTACATACTGAATGGGTTCCTGAGAAACTGTACATGGCATAGAATTAAATAAAATATGAGAAATGAGATCTTCTATGCTTAATGTAGACTAGATACTGACATAGTATTATTTTTGTCATTAATCAATTTAATCAGCTCTAGAGCTAGGCTCGGGGAAGGGGGGGGGGCGGTCGCTCCCAACGCCCTCCCCCTTCCGACGCCAATCACTGGTGATCCACTCGATTAAATGTCGGAACATCGAAGCTAGGATTTTTCTTTTTCCCTATTTCACATCTTGTAGGCAGAATTCTCACGGCATTTTCACACAAACGTGTATCAGTAACATATGTTTAAGAAAATGTAAACATTTGTGAACAAACAGTTCAGGAGACAACAGAATCGTCGATTTAATTCGTCACTTAAGTTACATAAACGGAATTTCGTAAAACAGTTAAGATCTGCACTTTTAACCCAAACCGTTTCTGTAACTTAAGTGAGGAATTAAATCGACGATTCTGTTGTTTTCTGAGCTATTTTTTCGCAAACATGTACATTTTCTAAAACATATGATACTGGTACACGTTTGTGTGAAAAAACGTCGTGGGGATTCTGCCTACAACGCGTGAAATAGGGAAAAAAGAAAAATTGTTCCTTCGACGTTCCGACATTTTGTTTCGGTAACCAGCGTAATCGAGTGGAACACCAGTGCCAATGTTATGATGTCATGGACTTCTAATGTGATTAGAAGTCCATGATGATGTCTAGAAAACTAAAGCATAGCAAAACAGATACTTGTATTTAAATTTCATATTTATTATCAAAAGATGTTCTAGCTGCAAATCAAATACAGTTATTTCAATATTATACAAAATGTACACTAACTATTGGTGTAAGTTACAGCACATGTATATGCCTTACAGGTCTGCAGTCTGCACATCTTACAGGTCTATAGTCTGAATATCTAACAGGACTGTAGTCTGCATATTTTACTGGTCTGTAGTCTGCATAGCTTACAGGTCTGTAGTCTGCTTATCTTACAGGTCTGTAGTCTGCTTATATTACAGGACTGTAGTCTGCATATCTAACAGGACTGTAGTCTGCATATTTAACAGGTCTGTAGTCTGCATAGCTTACAGGTCTGTAGTCTGCATATTTTACAGGTCTGTAGTCTGCATATCTTGCAGGCTTGTAGTTTGCATATCTTAAAGATCTGTAGTCTGCATATCTTACAGGTATGTAGTCTATATATCTTACAGGTCTATAATCTACATATCTTACAGGTCTGTAGTCTGTGTATCTAACAGTAGGTCTGTAGTCTGCTTATCTAATAGGTCTATAGTCTACATATCTTAGAGGAATTATGTCTGAAGTACAGTGAAATATTCTAACATCAACACTTCTAAATATAAGTATTACCCTAGTTTGTGGAAGTAACAGAAATATAGTGACTTTAGGACCAAGCCAACATCACAATTACAAAAGTCACCATGTTTCCTGTCACTCACTAATGTTGAATGTGTTGATCTAAATAATAAAGGTGTTACATTTCAGTCTCAACTGACCCAAGTTCAAGCACCTTGATTTCCAATTTCCAATATTGGGGTCACAAAATATACTTCTTCAATTGATGAATTTCGACTGAAATTGATTGAAATACAGCCTTAAAGATGTTAAACAACATTTATATAATTCCTACATCTAAGTTTGAACACATAATTGTGATAATAAAAATATTGCAATGATATTCTAGACAAAATAAGTAATATTTATTATACTATAACCATTGTTTTGACTTTGAAGCTAAAATATGTGTGCGTTTATTCATCATTATTTCAAACATACTACATTGGCCGTTTAATTCATCATTATTTTAAACATACAATCTTGGTCGTTTATTCATCATTATTTTAAATGTCTCGGCCAACTTTCTTCTGAGAAAAAACTTTCAATTCAATTTGCATTCTCAACAATTCATATCTCATAATATAATCCACATACACATAATATAACATGTAATCAAGATTACCCACTTCTTCTGAAGTTCATAATACACACACACACATAGAATGGTTTTTCTCAATACTAAGTCAAAGAATTCATTAAAATCAGCGTCCACTTATTACAAAGTTCTAATCTCTAAGAGAAGTGATAAGGTCATATAAAATACAGATGAATCCTAAAAAATACAAGTCAGTTATATCTCCAATATTTAGCCCCCACAAATAGTTTAACAATCAGAAGTCTTCATTGGATAGGGAGTAAAAGCCAGTTCATGTTTGCATCTTTATTTGATTTCTGAATAACAACAGATTGGAAAGATGATTTTAACAAATTTGGTGATAAAAATCATTTTTACATGACATGTGTCCAAAATGGGACTTCTTGTTACCACACTTTTTGCGGGGGACATGACTGTCTTATCTATTTATCTAAACGAACAAAGAACATTTCTGATCCCTCACAAAATGAAAATTCATTATTTCATTTGGAAAAATACAAGTGGGTATGGATTTTACATGTAGAACATGAATATTTATCTTTATATCCCTAAGCTGAGCCAACAGACGTGTAATACATGGAGTACATGACTGTACCTTACTTGCTCATGTACAACATATGGGCCACTTGGTTTTGAGTCAACAATTCTAGAATTTTACTACACTTAATATAAACTTTTCTTTTCTCAGCTATAAAATAAATGCTGTAGGTTTACTTAACCATTTGTTTCGCATATAGTGTTTTCATTTGCTGAAAAACTAAATTGTATATCCCCTGTTAACATCATGAAAGATTTTGATTAAAAATCAAAATCACAGTATAAGAAACAAGTCTCTGAAAAGTTGGTCATACAAAATTAGAAATTCTCCAATGGCGAGGGAGCTTTCTTGTAAATGTTGCCAAACTTTGACATATATTTCTTCACATAGTCCCTGGCCTTCGCCTTGACACTTTCATTCACTTCCAAATCTTCCTCATGACGACAGTGCTTCAGCTCTTTCGCAAGCACAGTGTGGGTTAACTGAAATAATATCAACATGGTGTCATGCTATGTGTTAATACAGAAAAAACTGGCAGTTAAAACATTTATGAGACAGGGATGTCATTTTGCATAAAAAATATCACTCACAATCACAATCAAGTTTTGTAAAAAAAACAGCGAACTCAGAAATCAAATAGCACAAAATGTCCAAACTTTTGTGCAGTGGAATTCTAATTGCACAAAATCTTGTATGTTTAACGTATATCTGTAGGTAGCAACAAACCTTTCTAGCCAGATGTTTGAACTCTTCAGTGGTGGTAATCCTGCCTCGTTTGCAATCAGGCTTCCTGTATGAGTTCAGACATGCCACGATATGAGAGGACATGTTTGAGCGGAACTTCTCTTTCAGTCTGCGTGCATTTTCTGATGACGTATCAGCAGGTGCAGTTGTAGTCCTACGCTGATGCTTCTGGAATGAAAATTTTGGAATAAACAACAATTCAATTTTTTTAAAGAGGCGATTGGGTTTTTGCAAAAATAAGCTGTCAAATGATCACAGTGCAGTATTATATGGAAAATACAAACATGTGTCAGACACCTAACTTTTGCATATCTTTGATTTTTTGTTTTTTTTTAAAAAATGTGATGCTTCAAATATGCATAGAGTCCTTTTAAATGATAATACTTTTAGAGTCGATTTTTACGATTCATCTTTTTAAGTTTATATTGTACAATATTTTAACAACTTACCTTGGAGTGTTCTTGATAGTCTGGGGTGTCATAGAGGTCAACATCCTGTCCCTCCGCTCCATCCCACTGAGGGGGATCCCACTGCGTCTGCCTGAAATATTGCATTATGGGTAAAGTTTAAAACTTGTACATAACAAAACTTCAACTAAAGAGAAAACCACAATTCTAACGGACATAATTCATAGATAATAGTAAAGACTTCAGAAATATTTTTCTGTACATTTTTGCCTGAAGTACCAAATGTATCATTTACCTAGTAACAGTATGATAGTAGTATGTTTTGTTGTCAGCATCCTTGGCAGTTTTCCAGTTAGGTGGCAGTTTCACAGGCTTAATTTTGGCAGGTGGGGAGGGTGGGGGAGGTGGAAGATCTCCTGGAACAGCCTCAGACTCCAGTCGTTGTTCCAGTGACTGTACTGGTACCTGTTGCACCTATTATAGAGAGAAATAATTCAAAGTGAAATCCATTGTACAACGTGAATATGAAATTTGTTTATTAAACATAAAAATATCATTTTAGTTTAGTTTATTATCAAATAAACACAATGGAGAGGTTTCGCACAATAGGTTATAGCTAAAAAGTATTCACAACCGCATCTGTTTTAATTGAACTACTATGCATAAATCTTGAATATGTTACAGATTTTAGCGTTGTGCGAATTATTCCATTCAGTCTATTGACCATCCAAACTGATAATTTTACCAAAAGCAATGTTGTCCGAGAAGTAATTTAATATATCATTATTACATTACATGCAGTATTGTATTGCTGTACATATCACCAATGCAAAAACTATAGCGTGGGCTTGATTAGTTTGCTATATTATTAGAGCATATTGCACATGTAAAAATGTTACCTGGGAAACAGACTGGCCGGCAGTCTGACTAGGATACTGTTGTTGCACCACCACACCTTGCGGGGTTTGATAATACACTTGTTGCCCAGCAACCTGCTGTATCTGTGGCTGAGACTGGATGTAACCCTGCGTGACTTGTGTCTGTTGAGATGGCACTTGAACCTAATGAAAAATATATATTCCAAGAGATTAATTAATATAAAACCCAATTGCTCATAAGCATAATGCGGTGACAATTGCTCATAAGCATAATGCGGTGACAATTGCTCATAAGCATAATGCGGTGACAATTGCTCATAAGCATAATGCGGTGACAATTGCTCATAAGCATAATGCGGTGACAATTGCTCATAAGCATAATGCGGTGACAATTGCTCATAAGCATAATCTGGTGACAATTTAGGATTTTTTTCAAAGTATGATATAAATGGAAAACATATCTCTGTACCATAAAATTCAAACTTTGTAATAGAATTGTGACCAATTATGTCGAAGGCTTTAGAGAAATCTAAGGAATATTGTAATACACACCTGAGTTTGATAGACAACTTGGGTGTTTGGATCCACAAAACCATGTTGAACAGAACTTTGGCTTGCTGAAATCAAGAACAATAAATCTGAAAAAACATTCTGTGAAAATATAATACAAAATATGATAATTATGATATTAAAAATGTAATCTATATCCCTCCTCAAACTTCCTTCAGTGGGAAAATAAATCATTTCTTATTAAAAGAAGCCTGCTTAAGCCATCGGGATTGAACAAAGGAGGTGCTTACCCTGGGGGACCTGCATTATAAGTTGACCTGTTGTTGGATCCTGGTACACAGCCTCTGTTGTGTACATTGCACCTAAAGACATAATACAAACAACACATGTATTGAGTGTATATATTACATACTTTCAAGGTATCAGAAAATTGCTTCTTTTTAAGGTGATCCATAATTTCAGAGTGTGTCATGTTACTAAATAATGGGTTTATGTATAGTTAGGGACAAGGGACAAGGTACCCATACTCATATAAAAGGCAAATTCATTATATTTGAGATTGACAGTCACAAAGACATCAATTCTTGAAGAAACACCAAAATAAAATTTACCGGATGGATCCTGAAACTGTTGCTGCATTAATACATTAGGGTCCTGGAACAATTGGTCCTGGTGCAGCTGGTCCTGGATGACCACTTGGTCTGGCAGTAAGGTAGGGTCCTGGATTACCATAGCACCAGTGGTAGGGTCCTGGAATGCATTAATGTCAAAATTAAAACTTATTTTATTCATGAAAACCTGAAAATGCTTTTAAGTTTATTTTACAATTGATAGAATTGAGCAAGAATATTTTTATGATATCTTCATACATTTTGGTCTCTAAAATATTTGAAACAGATACACTTCATACCTCTCGAGACATTAAATACATTATTTTTTACATAGTTCCTACTCGCCTTATAACATATATACTCTAACGTACCTGAAATACTGCACTGGGTTCCTGTAATGCCCTATATTGCATTTCTACCATATCAGCCTCATGTTGTAATTGCTGCTGTTGTTGACGCTTCTGCTCTTGCTCTTGGATTATGCGGTCCAACTCCTCCTTTGCTTTCACCTGTGCCTCAAACAATGATCTTCTCTCTTCCTTGGACATGGAGCCCTTTGGAGTAGTTGGGAATGATGATCTGCTATCCCTGCTTCTTCTACAAGATTTAAAGATACAAGACATGAATGTGACAGAATGTCACAATGTGGAAAATTGTTTAAGTGATTTGGGAGTAGTTGGGATTGATGATCTGCTATCTCTGCTTCTTCTACAAGATTTAAAGATACAAGACATGAATGTGACAGAATGTCACAATGTGGAAAATTGTTTAAGTGATTTGGGAGTAGTTGGTATTGATGATCTGCTATCTCGGCTTCTTCTACAAGATTTAAAGATACAAGACAAGAATGTGACAGAATGTCACAATGTGGAAAATTGTTTAAGTGATTTGGGACTAGGTGGTATTGATGATCTGCTATCCCTGCTTCTTCTACAAGATTTAAAGATACAAGACATGAATGTGACAGAATGTCACAATGTGGAAAATTGTTTAAGTGATTTGGGAGTAGTTGGGATTGATGATCTGCTATCTCTGCTTCTTCTACAAGATTTAAAGATACAAGACATGAATGTGACAGAATGTCACAATGTGGAAAATTGTTTAAGTGATTTGGGAGTAGTTGGTATTGATGATCTGCTATCTCGGCTTCTTCTACAAGATTTAAAGATACAAGACATGAATGTGACAGAATGTCACAATGTGGAAAATAAAGTGATTTGGGAGTAGTTGGTATTGATGATCTGCTATCTCGGCTTCTTCTACAAGATTTAAAGATACAAGACATGAATGTGACAGAATGTCACAATGTGGAAAATTGTTTAAGTGATTTGGGAGTAGTTGGTATTGATGATCTGCTATCTCTGCTTCTTCTACAAGATTTAAAGATACAAGACATGAATGTGACAGAATGTCACAATGTGGAAAATTGTTTAAGTGATTTGGGAGTAGTTGGTATTGATGATCTGCTATCTCTGCTTCTTCTACAAGATTTAAAGATACAAGACTTGAAAGTGACAGAATGTCACAATGTGGAAAATTGTTTAAGTGATTTGGGAGTAGTTGGTGTTGATGCTCTGCTATCTCTATTCTTCTACAAGATATAAAGATACAAATCATAAATGTGACAGAATGTCACAATGTGGAAAATAGTTACAGACATTGTTGTCAACACTGAATGCTAAGACAATATGCCAGTCACCAAAAAGAGGATGATATAACAATATGTCTTTGAGACTATACAAATGATGCCTACCTGTCTTTACGATCATCTCGAGAATGTTTGCTTGATCTGCCCTCTGGTGAATCACCATGGCGACGTTTGCGATCCCGATCGCGATCCCTATTTCGGCGATTGTATTCACTATAGCTATCCAATTTGTCACTGTCTCGCCTTGAGTCTATTTTTTCTCTATTTTGGCGGTCAAGTTCCTCTTCTGTCCTCTTGCGCTCCTCCACCAGTTGTTTTTTAGGGATTTTGAACAGCTCCTGATGAAGAATATGATCATTGTTTAATATACTTTAATCCTACTTTAATCATACAATTACTCAACATCAATTGAATGGAAGGCTGGAAGCTGATTAATTAAAATGTGGTTCATAAAGAAAACTGAGGTTATGTTACATTTGAAATATACAAAATAATTACTTTTTAAATCAAAGAACACACCTAAATCTGCTAATTCCAATCTCAAGAAGCCACACATACCTTTAATCCACTCCATGATTCAAGGAGATCTGAGGCAAAGTTACAAATGTTTGGTTCTTTACTGCTTTCTCCATCTTCCTGGCTTTCTGTCTGAGCTTCATCCTGGCTATGACCTTCACCTTGACCTTCAACCTCAGTGAGATTATCATCTGTGGTAGATTCAACCTTGGCATCTTCTATAATAGTTTCTGCTTCTGAATATCAAAGATGAAGATTTTGTTTTAGCATATCCTGATTTTTCAAGAGTTTATATAGTGTGAATTTGTTTAATTCTTGCTATTTGGAGATATAGATATTACAGCATTATTAAAACACAATGGGGTTATATTGATATATCACTTAGAAAAATAATACTTATAATATAGCAGTGGTACAAACCTGGAGGTTGAGTATCTGGTAAATCTTCACTAAAGCTCTCATTCTTAATTTCATTGGCCACAATGTCAAATATGTTCCCACGTTCTCCATATTTCACCTTTGGTTCAAGCACTTTAGGTTCAGTGTCAGGTTTTGATTTGACTGGTGTATGACTAGAATGTTGTGAGCTGTTGTCTGCAATAGCTGACAATTTGCTAGAGTCTGAAAAATCACTATCAGAGCCACTCGCTTCTTCACCCCTTTGACCAGGTAAAAGTTTGCGTTTTTTATTCAGCAGACGGCTGTAAAGCTCACTGGAGACATCTGGTGGTGGGGGTGTATCAGATGTTTCACCAATGTTTAGAGTTATCTGACTACTGTTTAGGCCAGATTGACTTGCGCCTAGCATGGAGCTAGTCTGACTCAGAGTCAATGGAGTCTGAGACCCTGACGGGGCCTCACTTTGAGAATCGTCAGCCTCCTTTTCATCAACCTCTCTCGACCATTTTTCAACTACCGTTATGATCTTACTGTCTTTAAGCACATTTTTGTTTGTAATTGGAAGTCTTCTTAGGGTGTTCAAAATCTGAAAAACAAGTATCAAGTTTACATCCAAGTAAAATGAATATGATTACCCAAATCGAAGCATTGTTCAGATTTATTTTGAATGGTAATTCTTATAATTAAAGCACTGTCTCAAACCTCAAATATATCACTCAAAGTGCCCCCTCTGCATCATATTTGAACAAAAGATGGCTCTACTTACCTGGCTCTTAAGCTCAGTCCTGAACTCTTTGCCCAGGTCAACCATCCAACTCCACATAAGAGACAAACCATGATAGTCTATGAACAGACGCAGACATGCTGGCTCAGTATTGGGAGACTGAAATAAATATACACAATATTGAAAATGTATATCCGTGATGTTTCCCTGCCCAGTTTCTTTCTTCTTAGACTTCCTTGTCTACTTAGCAATTTTGAGTGCAGCTAACTTTCCCAGTCAGAAAAAATAAATTTATATTTCCTTTATTTCCCTTTCTTGTAAGAAATCTGGCTCTCCATTACAAATTACATGTACCAAGTGCTGCTACAATTGAAAATTCAAGTAATAACAATGATCACATTTTCTTAAATGATGGGCCCACATTTACCCCATAAATTAAAAGTAGACAAAGTTACAGTTTAGAAATTAAACCTTTATTTGTATCTGCTTTTCAACTGAGACAATAATTCATAATTCATAATAGGATGCTTCAGCATAGCCCTATCCTTTTCCTTTAAGAATCATCATTATAAAGAAAATTAGATCAAGGAATCTACCTGTAGTAGCCTAAGGAGAGCCAATCTGAAAATTAATTCAAGGAATCTACCTGTAGTAGCCTAAGGAGAGCCAATCTGTGGTCAGCAGTTTCACAACGCACCATCAGCCGGGACAGCGTCAACACATGCTGTTTGTTCTTCAAGCCATCCAGAGAGACCATTCTTTCTATGTCCTCTTCCAGCTGTAGAAATTTCAAATTTGTTTATTTTATACTATGATCTCACTATTAAATTTCTTATTCTGTGATTGGTTTAACATGCATCACATGTCATGAAATAACCTTGGGTATTTCCAGGTGATACTTCGTCTACTGCTAATTGACATAAAGTGAATGTTTCCTATAGTAAAACTGTCTTCAAGTTGAAGGAATCATTTTTTCTAATTTATTTCAAATTGAAGTGATTGATTGCACAAAGTGGGTTGGTTTTAAACAAATACATATATCCTATAAAAATGTATGTAACTAACGTATCAAACTCAAAATTTCATAAAATTATTGATTCAACTGTCACTCACGCTGTCATCAAAGATGTCTACGACTGGCTTCCTCTCTGTGCTTGACTTGCGTTTTTTGGATGACTTGAGAGTTTGGCGTTTCTCTCCCCCCAGGATCCCCCTGCAGTTATCTGACCCGCAGTAACACTTCTGAGCTTCCTTCCTATATAAGCAAAAATAATGATTCTGATTGGTTGGTGTAGTATTGTACCCTCAATTGCATTAAACAAAACAGATTTTCCAAACCACCTGTTATTATTGTACTTCCTACAACTTATTTTCATTTTGTTTATTTAAACTAGCATAGCAACATACTAAATACATTACAGTGTACAATACATATATGCACAGAGTGAAAAGAAGAGCTGCTATTTCCTCCACTTTTACATTGACAAATAAAGATAAATAAGTTTATCAACTAAAAATAAATTCTGATTTTGTTTTGTAAACTGACAACTGTGCATATGAAAACATACCCATATCTCTCCCATTGATAATCAAATGTTATCTCAGTTCCAGGTTTAATGTCTTTAATGGCAAAGAATCCTACTCTAAGTTGGCCATTTACAGTCCACTGAAAATTAAATCATTATAACATGTTATTTGTAAGACAAACGTTATCTGTACATTTCAGTTAGAATATTTAAGCTAGAAAACTGATTTGACACTTCATTAATAAAAATTAATACAATATGTGATAAACAGTTTTTGGGAACCGATGAGGTGTTAAAGAGACCCATTTTCTTTCTATAACACTCTTTTTGAGTCTGTGATATGTCATGCTTGGATATTTCATGCTTTGCACTAACAGACATCTGAATAAATGAAAGAATACTGAACAATTATTTACGCCTTTTTAAAGTTCACGAAACAGTGTCTTACCCCAGCCACTAAATAAAATCAATTCCATGGGGATACATCACCTAAGATAAGGGAGACAGCATACCTTTTGTGTTTCGCAGTTAGGATCACAGCTATGGTTGATGAAGCGAGAGACATTCCCTTTGGACCATGCATCTATGATTTCATCCGTGTTGAGGGCCATGAAATAGTAATGAGCCTGGCCTTCTCTCGCATATTGCTTGGTGCGTTTAGTGAACTGTTTATAATCCAGCACCTCACCCACATACTCCATTACAAATGTGTCCCTTTAACAAATTTTAATTTTTTTAAATTTCAATATGCAGACGCTGCGTGTGAGTGTATTTTTGATTTCATGTTAATATGGATAACATAGATATGCAATATATGATATGAATAAAAAAAAAGATAAATAGTAAAACGCCCTTTAATGTAAAACTGATACTACATAATAGTAATATCTTTAGACTAACCATGACCCTGATGAAAATAGAATGCTCAGATTTGTTAAGATTACAATCAATAATATAGTTTCATGTATCTATTACACTCATATACTTCTGGCAGACGAGGTGATTTCGAATTCATACTAGGCCCCAGGATTGCCGATAAGGAAGAAATGTAATATATAGTAATATAAAAGATGCAATCATGTGATGAATGTAAGTGCCACTTACGGTTTGATCTCCTCCTCTGCCTGGAGACCCCAGCCCTTCCAATCTGTGCGGAATGGAGCTACATTGGCATTCTCAAGCTGAAATATGAAAGGTGTCATTTTGTAAATATGAAAGGTGTCATTTTGTAAATATGAAAGGTGTCATTTTGTAAATATGAAAGGTGTCATTTTGTAAGGTATGTCAAATTGAATATTGATCATGAGTAGGGAACATTGGAATTTAAGTTTTATGATAATAAACCCAAAAGATGATTTTTAGATAATTTATGAAGAACTTCTTTTTATACAACAATTTAATTTTTAACGAGGATTACGGTGCAAATCAAGTGAGAAAGATTAAAGAAAACTTACTCTTTGAAAGCGTTTATTTGTGCAGTAGTCACCACAGGGACATCTTGAGCCACTGAAAATATTCAAAAATATAAAATGAATTACTGAAATATGAAACATAGTGTGGGATAAAGATTGAATAGAATATGAGACCACTTATCATAGAATTTTAAAACATTCAAATAAAGACTATTCCAAAGCTGGAATTTTCCCCATTGTGTGATATTTGATGTAGAAAAAAACACTCACCACTCAATCATGAGCATTCTATTGAGACAATCATCACCACATGGGAGCATACCCATCTTTCGGTCTTCCTTACTTGTAGTGCAGTCACAGAGCATACGTCGTGCCTCCTTTTTAGCCTTAGATTTCTTCCTGTTATATGAGGCACATGAATAAACAAAATGTATCAAGGCATTAACATGAAAAATGTCACAAACTGCCATTTGTTACAGATGCCAAACACCAACTGGACTATATTCAATATGTCACCACTTATGGTGGCGACATGGTACCAGAAATGCTTAAAAATGCTTATTTTTCATGGTTTTCAATGTGGAATGCTAGAAAAACTGACCTTTCAGAGAGAAATATGTTTTCTTTGATTTCTTCAAAGGTTGGTCGTTCAGGGAGATCCTCATCCTCTTCAACAGCAGGGGGTATAATGTTACTGGTATCATTTCCTGTGAACTCTCGTTTCACATCATCATCTTCTTTAAATACATCCAGCTTTGCATCAGTGTCAGATTCTGGGGGAGGCGGGGAACTTGATGGAACAGCGCTGAAACCTTCGAGTGCACTCGCTTGCAACCATCTTGATTTCATTTTCATGCATTTCGGGCTTTCATCATTCTGATTCACCTCTGAAGTGTTATTGAGACTTTCTCGACGCAGATAATCTGGAACAACAAAATCTTTGCGCTCTTTTGTAAAAGTAACTGTTGTTGGACTCAATGGTTCTCGCTCCTGAAATATAAAATGTAACTTTTATATTTGATGATACAAGTTTTCAAAGAGTTTACTTAAATCCTGATAGTTCCTGTAGTTTCAACAGACAATCTATACATTTAGCATACAATATATTCTTTAAAAGAAAAGATAATGAAATATTTGATGTAGTACCTCGAGGGGCTCGTGAACAGGAACTTCACAAAGTTCAGAGAGAGTTCCTTGAGGTGTTCTTGGATATCATGATGTGATAGTATAATTTTTAACTTAAAAATTTTTTGGTTAATCACCCTAAAATTCTTACCTCTTCTTTTTGTTCTTCCTCCTTCTTCTTTCGCTCTTTCTTTTCTTTCTTGTCTTTCTTGATGGTTCCACCTTTCTCCTCTTTTCCCTTCTTCACTTCTAATGACTTCAATCGACTGCTACGCCGTCTGGATGGTGTGTCATTTTCAGAGTTGGTATCCACATCATTCTCAGATGCAAGCGATTTTCTACCTTTTTTCTTCTTACTAGATTTAGTGGTACTTGGAGTAACTTCAGCAAAGTCACTTGGGAATGAAGGTGTTGGTGTCCCAGTCCTTTGTTCATTGTCTGCATCCTTCCTAGTTGGTGTCTCAGAACTGTTTTCATCTTCTATAGTTGGACTGGCTCCAATATGAGGAAACAACATTTTTGAGTCATTTGTTTCTTCTTGTTCTGAGGGCTCATTTTTAGAAGTGATTTCATCAATGTTTGGTTCAGATTGCTCTGCAGTTTGAATCTTTTCATCTGCTGCATCTTCTAATTCCATGTCACTTGTGTCAGAGGGTTGAATATCATTTTTCCTAGTTTTGATAGATACTTCGCTATCCTCTTTGAGTTCCTTTTTAGGTGATCTACTTGGGGAGTGAGTCAGAGAGGTGTGGGTGGGCACAGAGACCTGAGGTTGTTCTGGTTGCTTTTTAGGCACTGGTGGAGGTTCCGTTTGGAGTGGCATTGGTGGTGGCTGTTGATAATAATTGGAATATTCATCTTGTTGGGCATACCCTGGATATTGTGGAGGAGGGGGTGGATGAGATATCAAATCAGATGGAGTCAACAGAGAAGGTGGGGGCATCCCATATTGCGACTGTGGCATAAACATGTGTTGGGTGTGCTGAGAGGGCGGGGGATGAGTGGGTGGCCCATGCTGTATAGATGGCACAGGTGCAGGTGGAGCTGGGGGAGGAGGCGTGTCAGGATTCAACATTCGACTTATTCTTTCAGCCAATGGAATCTGGTGCTCAGGAGGTTCAATAGGGATGGGAGGCACTGGCGCCTCCTGGTGGGGGGCAATATGTCTCCCACTGCCAGTGTCTCCGCTCACTAAAGGGACAACCAGGGATGATGTTGGTGGTGCAATCCCTACCCCGGGTAAAGGAATTCCTTGGGGTGGTAAAGGGATTCCCGCTAGTTGGTTTTGAGCTATGAATTGTTGCTGTTGCTCCTCAAGGGTTGGTTGTGAACTACCCTGGAACATTGGGGACTGAGAAATTGTCTTATCAGGCTTCAACAGCCAATCCAAGTTTTGTTTTGGTTTCGGTGACATTTCCTTTGCTGATTTTCGAGTTCTATCTGGACTCCTACTCCTAGACATGGATCGTCGCCTTCTATCTCTTGGAGAAAAGCCACTCCTTCGATTTCTTGGGCTTCTAGATGATCTTCTTGGGCTTCTTGATGATCTTCTTGGACTACGAGATCTTCTTCTTGGGCTCCTTGTTCTTCGTCTTGGGCTCCTTGATGACCTCCTAGGACTTCGAGAGCGTCTTCTCCATCGTTCACGAGACACACTTCGAGAATATCTTCTTCTCCTATATGCTGCAGGAGTTCTATCTCTAGACCTTCTCCTGGATGAACCAGACTTCCTGTTTTCAGGACTTGATGAGTATCTTCTCTCTCTGCTTCTCGATCTCCTTGACCTTCTCCTTGGGCTTCGAGATCTTCTTCGAGGGCTTCTAGATCTTCGCCGAGGACTTCGAGAGTTTCGACGAGGGCTTTGAGATCTTCTAGATCTTCTTGGTGAGTCCCTACCATATGATCTCCTTCTTGAAGCTCTTCTTGGGCTGAGAGACCTAGAGTATCTTCCTCTACTCTTACTTCTACTTTGGCTTCTTCTTGATCCAGATTTGCCGAGGTCAGCTCTTCTAGGGCTAGGAGACCTCTTTGGACCCAAACCTTGCTGCATTCCACCATCTTGATGGTAGGTTGGCCTGCTCAGTTCTTGGCTATGGCTAAATTGTCCAAATCCAGTATCTTCAGGGAAAGTTTGTCCCAATGCCTGATAATTTAACATCATAACACCCTGTTGATTTTGCATTTCTTGCACCGGATTATTAACACCATCACCAGGTTCATCAAGGCATGGTGTGCCTTCTCTTGATGCATATTTCTGCTGCTGCTCTGCATAGGATTCTGCATTGGTCAGTGGAGTCTCAGATGTTTGGACAATATTTCCCATTTGTTTCTCTTGTAGAGTGTCATGTTTTACAATCCTATCCAATATTTCAGCAGGATATCCTATCAATGTATTGGGTTCATCTTCCTTTTTAAGTGGTTCAGGTGTAGCAGGAGCACTCTCAGAAAATGGATCATAAACTTCAGACTCTGGAACACTAGGTTTTGTGGTGAGAACTTGCTCAGCTTTAGATACAGAATTATCAGTTTCAAAGGTGGCTGTATCTTTTGTATCATGATCTTCTAACTTTGATTTTTCATTCATATCCTCGGTCTTTGATACATTTTCATTGCTTACATCTTCTGAAGGTTTCTCAACACTTTTACCTCTACTCCTGTCCCTGCTTCTATACCGCCTACGTTCTCTGCTACCATCTCTCCGTGATCGTTTTCTTTCTCTGCTATCATCTCTTCTACTTCTCCTTTCTTCTCTTCTCTCATAACTGCGTTCTCTTCGTCTATGTTCCCTACTATCGCTTCGTCTTCTATCTCTGCCTCTTTCGCGACTATCTCTTCTTGATCTTCTTTCATCCCTTCTATCTTTACTCGAGTCTCTCCTTGATTTACGTTCACTGACAGCTCTCTCCTGACTTTCCTCTCTGGTTTCCTTCTGTTTGTCATCAATTTTATTCTCTAGTATATCTGGCTTTTCAGGTTCAGCTTTTGTTATTGTTTCTAGTTTTTTAAGCGATTCAGCTGGTTTTGATGCTGCCCTCAATCTTAATGAAGGTAGCTGTGATAATTGTTCTTCTGGCTCATCATCTGCTTGGAAAGCTGATAGAGTTTTAAATTTACCTAGTGAAGTTTTTAAAGTCATTTGAATCTTTGATGATTTTGGTATGATTTTTTTCATCATACCAAACTTTGCGATAGGTTCAGATGTTGTACTATCAGCAGCAACAGCAGCTTGATTCTCAGTGAATTGAATTTTTGGATTAATCTTAATTGTTTGTGTAGAAAGCTTGGACTTGGCATCCCACCTTGAACTAGCTGGTTTTTTGGCAGCTGCGAGTTTAGCCATAGCTTCTGCAATCTTATTGGATGCTGGTGAAACAGTATGTGTAACCTCAGGTACTGGCCTGTTAGGTGTAGATGAATCGGCAGGTCCATGAGTCTGTTGAGATCCCAACTGAACAGTACTTATATCTGATGAAGGTTCTACCTTTGGTAATGGAAGATCAACACTTGGTATTTCAACATTTGCTGCTGGTGGCTGTAATGCAGCTTGGATAGTTTCTACTTTAGGCTGCTGGGAAATACTATCAGGGGGTGGTGGTGGAGGTAGTTGGGAAGGTGGTTGAGGAGTGGTTTCTTTTAGAACAGGTGCTGGTGGAAGTGGCATTTCTGGCATCGTAGCTGCTGGAACACCTTTCATTGGTGGTAAGGGAATAGAATCTAGTGGTATCGGTATAGAGCCCAAATCAATGGATGGAACTGAGGGTTGTTTTCTTGGGGGAGGAGGGGGAGGAGGTACTTCATCAATTTCCATTACATCATCAGCATCGTCTAATACAATTACAGGTTCTACTTTCTTTTTCTTTGACACCTCCTTATCATCATATCTTCTTGTTCTTCCACTTCTCCTTTCTCTACTGTCATCTCTGTATCTCTTTCTATCATCTCTCTCTCTACTTCTGTCCATGCTGCGGCCATCCCTTCTCTCCCTACTTCTGCCCCGGCTGCGCTCATCTCTTCTCTCTCTACTTCTGTCCCTGCTGTGTTTATCCCTTTTTTCTCTACTTCTGTCCCTGCTGCGGTTCTTCCTAGTTTCAACAGGTTTTCTATGGGACTCTGTTTCTTTCATTGTTTTGCTGCTAAAGTCACTTGCACTGCTTGGTTTTCTGTTAAAATCACTGCCTTTATCAGGTTTTGCTTTTTCCTCAGTCTCTTTGCTAAGTTTTCCTAAGTTAAAATCACTATCTCTCTTAGAATCATAATCTTGCATGGACTTTTGTTTCAATTCATCTGTGAATAGCTCAGAACCAGATATTGTACTATCTTGAACCTTTTGATGTTCTTTTACCTTCGTAGCAATTTCTACTTTGTTTGAAAGTGAAGAAACATCTAAAGATTGTACTTGGCAAATATTTCCTTTAAATCTCTGCACAGGAGGTGGTGATGGTATCCTTGGTACAGGAGGGGGTGATATTTTCTTTTGTACTGGAGGGGGTGGGGGTGGTGGAGCTTGTTCTTCCTCATCATCATCATCTTCTGAAGATGATGAATCACTCGAGTCACTGGATGTACTGTCATCATCACTTGAACTTGAATCCTCCGATGAGCTACTATATGAGGAACTTGGTGCTTCATCAACATCTTCCTTTATTGAGGGCTTTACTTTAACATCTAGTTTATCCTCAAAAGTGTGACGCTGGGGTACAGGGCTTGGTGTAAGGCTGTATCTTCCTTCATCTCTTGCACTTGGACTATATGGCTCAGGATCTTTTTCTTCAGCTGCTTTAAATCTTTCTGTTTCAAGTTGATCATTCGAGGATATATCCATAGACTTCGGTTCTGATATTCTGCGTGACCTTTGCATATCTTTTGTTCTTTCAACCCTGGATTTTACATCAAGTTTTGGTTCAACAACATGTGTGGTGGGAGAAACATCTCTTCTTTTGGAATCTGAAGCAATTTCATAATCTGCACTATCTTTAGTTTCATATTTCTTAACTCTTTCTTGGACAGGTTGTGATTCTTTCCTTCTGCTTTCTTTTCTGCTTTCATATATTAACTGGCTTTGTTCCTCAGATATACTCTTATTCCTATGTTTACCCTTAGAACTAGATACTGACTGCTCCTTGTCTACTGATGGACTTCTACTATTACATTTTTCATTCCTTTTATGAGATCGTGACTGCATCTTTTCTAAAAGTGGACTATATCTTTCCTTTTGCTTATAACTAGATGAAGATGTCCTGTCCAATGACAGACTCCTACTTCTGGACCTTTGTTTCCTTTTATCATCAGACACTGATTGCTTCTTTTCCAACGAGGGACTTCTGTATCGTTCTTTCTGTTTTTTACTAGATATTGATCGCTTCTTTTCGACAGATGAACTCCTGCTTCTACTTCTATATCTTCCTTTCCTTTGATCATTGTGTTTCTCAAGAGGTGGTGTTCTGCTCCTATATCTTTCTTTTCTCCTATCCCCTGACCCTGATTTAGTATCTTCTAATGAAGGACTTCTAAGAGCGTGTTTTTTCTTCTCAATTTTTTCTTCATAAGATGGACTTCTGTGTTTATTTTTACTTTTTGAGGATCTTATTTCCACAGACATTTTTCTCTTCCTTTCATCATATGAAAAATTATCAATATTTGAACTTCGATTTCTATCCTTTTCTTTATGTCTAGATTTTGTATCCATGTAATCTTCATATTTAGAGAGTTCCATTTCCTTCAGTATATCTGAAGATTTAGCAGTAATTGAATGCGTTTCTTGTTTGTCTTTTTTACTGTCCTGATCTGTCAATTCACTTCTAGTCTTCTTGTGCTTCTTAGCTTTAGTATATTCAAAACGTTCATCCTCATCTGTATCATCTGTGGAATACTTAGAGCTTTTATATGACTTCCTACTATAAACTGGTGAAAGGTCCATCTCTGGTGAATATGTAGGTGAACTTTTATGCTTTTTCTTTTTCTTTGACTTTTTAGAATGATCTCTGTCTTTATCAGAATTATCACTAAACATATCTGCTTCATTGGCACCTGAATGGTCGTCTAAATCACTGTCTAGGTTTGCAATATATTTATCAATTAGCTCATCGAGGCTTTTTCTTTTCCTTTTCTTGTGTTTTGATTTCTTCTTCTTGTGTTTGGATGATTTTTTAGGATAGGGATCCTCCTCCTCGGAGCATGAGCCATCATCATATGATTTCTTATCAAGCTTGGACTTTAATTTTATTTTTGGTTCATCCACTGGTTTTTCTTTGAGTCTTTTCTTTTCAGATTTATCCTTCTGTTTTTGTTCTGGACTTCTATATCGAGATGAAATTGAGTCTGGGCTAGAGTCTCGATATTTTGATGACCCATCCAAACTGTTTCGAGTCTGTTTCCTACCAGTTGGACTTATTGTTGATCTTTTCTTGCTTGTCTTCCTTTCTTTGTCTCCTCCCTTCTTATTTTTATCATCTTTGCTTACTTCCATTGGACTGAGAGATCTGTCACTATCTGAACTGTTGCTTTTATGTTTATGGTGAGATTTCTTATCAGATTTCCTATCCTTAGATGCTACATGAGCCCTTTCAAAACTTCTACTTCTGTGTTTTGATCGTCGACCCAGGCTTGAGCCTGAATTGGATGATTTTAATTCTGGGCTAACACTGGATTTTCTTTTATCATCACCTACTTTGTGTTCCTTGGAATGCCTTCTATGGATTGGACTCTTTCTTCTGTCATGAAGTTGTCTATCTGGACTCTTACTGATTCGGCTGGACACTTTATCTCTTATTACTGAAGTTTCAGACTTTGATGACTTAGATTCTTTTCTTTCTGGGCTTTTACTTTTGTATCTTGCTGACCTACTTGTGGATTTTCTGCCCCTGCTTTCAGATGGACTTGTGTACCTTTTCATCTCAATATCAGGAATACTACGCTCTTTACATACATCAGGTGCCTTTGGATCATTTCTATCAAACCTGCTAATAAAACTGGTTGCATTATCTGAATCACTGTCAGTGTCCCACTTGGACTTGGAGGGTAATGCTATTTCAATGTCATCTTGTATTGAATCTTTTCTCTCGTGTCCTTTGCCTTTTGTGGTTTGCTTTTCATCACTTTGAGCTGTTGGAGACTTCCTCTTTGAATTTGATTCATCTTTACTTCGATGTCTTGATTTATCTTTACTAGAGTCTTTAAGAACTTCATTATTGGTGAATTCTTTACTAGATTTGCTTTGATCTGGGCTGCGGTTTCTTGATGTGCGTCTTTCTTTTGTCTCATCTACTGATGAGGCAGAGCTTTGAGAACTGGAACTATATGATCGTCTTCTTTGTTTGTTCTTTTTTCTTGATCTATGTTCAGATGAATCTCTGTTTCCAAATCGTTCACTTATCTTGTATTTGTCTCCTTTCTTTGACTTCCTACTTGAGTATTTATCTTCTGGAGAAGCTGACCTGTCCTTTTCATTCTTTTTCTTCAATTTGGATTTATTTTTGATGTTATCAGTGGATTGACCATCAGAGTCCATTTCTTTTTCATAATTTTGTTCTCTATCCCTATGTTTCTTACTTTTTGAACTACTTCGTTCCTCATTGGTTATGATTGATCTTTCAATTGAACAATCTTTACTGCGTGAATGTGACCGTTTATTTCTGTGCTGCCTTGAATCTCGTCTCTTTTCTTTACTTTTACTTCTTGATCTTCTTGATTGTCGCTTGCTGGTAGGACTTCGGCTCAAAGTTTTCTTTCGTCTTGTGGTATTGTCTGGAGATGAGTCAGAGCTTCCGCTCATTGAATGCCTATTTGAAGACCTATAGGATTTGCTACTTGGACTTCTCCTGCCTCGTCTCTGAGATGATTTTCTATCCTTTCGGCTATAGCTGGGACTCTTTTCAGAACTCTGACTCCTGCTTCTGTATCTGTTACTTGCCCTACTAGATGTTCTTTTTGGACTTCTGCTATGTGAATGTCTTCTATGTTGCCTTTTTGGAGTTTTGCTTCGAGATTTCTTGGGAGACCTACTTCTAGATCTTTTCTGACTTGATCTTTTCCTCAACTTCTCAGAGCTTTTGCTACGTGAGCGGCCTTTTCTCGACCTACTTGAATACCTAGTTTCCTGTTCCTTAGTATTTTTTACAGCTGATGTTGATTTAGCACTTGAAATTTCAGTTTCTTCATTCAATTTTTCATTGTCTTTTTGTTTTGATTCTTCTACACCTGCATTTTTATTATCATCCTTGATTGGTTTTTCTGATCTAGATTTCAACTTGGTTAGGTTTTCAGTATTTGTTGTAATTTTATCTTCGGAGGCTTCTGAAGAACGAATTTTAATACTGTCACTAGAAACTGGTTTTATTTGTGATTCTCCATGATCAGTTTTCTTTGGTTTATCTTTAACCTTTGGAGGAGATGTTTTATTTAATTTTGCAGCACTTTTTGACTGTATAAGTTCTTCCATTCTTCCAGTTTTTGCATCAGATTTTTCATCTTCATTCTGGCTTGATTCAGAGTCATCATAGGTTACAAGGTTTTTCTTACCCTTTATTGCAAAACTGATTTTTGTTGAACCTTTTTGCTGCAGGTCTAACTGAGAAGGAGTTCTTTGTTTTACTAAAAACTGTTGTTGTTTTTCCCTTAGTAATTTTTGGGCTTTAGTCATGGTTTTATCCATTGTTGATACTACTGGGGTGATTAGCTTGGAAGGCTCATTGACTTTCACTGCAGGTTCGCTAGGCTTCACGTCAGAAGGGCTTTCTTCTGGGTCTAAGAATATAAAATCGAATTCATGTGTATGAAATTACAATGTGATTTTTCATCTTGATGCCTCAACATACACATATTGCGCACATTATGTATTATTCTTAGCAATTAAATAAGATCTAATATATAAGACTTTGTTTGTGGAAGAACATCGGGAGTAGAGCATGACATTTAATGAAAAAGTGGAAAGCAATATATTTAATGAAGACAGTGCTTGGGAGTAAACTGTACAAAAGAATATGTAAATAGTAGTATCATAGAAATACTTGCCACACAAAGTAAAATGTCAAAAACATTTAGTATGTCATGCTGATGCTATACTGAACAATGGTTTATTAATATGTGGTATTAAGATAACTGAAGCATGTTATAGATTTAGACTTGATTATTACATCTGAATGTGTTTGAAATACAGATATGACAAGCATTGAATAAATGGCAATTTTATGGTGTAATAATACGATAATACTTCTCATTTTCACATTTCAGACCAAAATTTGTCAAAACTTGCCCATTTTTCTCATTTTCAAGTGGGTGCAAATGGGTTTTCAGGTAGGTGCAAGCCTATTTTCAAAATCTCAAGTGGGTGCTGCGCCCACTAAAATGCTTTAATGCTGGAGATATCACTGGACAGTGGACATGTATAATACCAGTTTAATAAACAAATGAAAGTTTGTATTACAAAATCTACACGCATTTGTTATAGACACTACTTTTTCCAGACTAGCAGCCCAGAGTCCTACTAAGAATGACATGAACAATTCAAAAGGTGAATGGTCTAAGCTCCTTATTACTACTCCTCTTTATGAAGAAAAATGAATTTACAAAGATTAACCTCAAACACTAACAGGGCAATTTCAGAGATACAACACTCTCATATCAGCAATTAAGCGATAGCAGAAAGAAGTCTTGTTGAGGTATATATATGATGCTGAGAAAACTTGTAATTTTCTCGAAGAACAATGACTTATGACCAAATAATTACAAGATTCCACAACTGACCCCTGGTACACATGTAATGTTCATTAATAAATGGCTTACTTTTTGGTTTTGGAGATGAGAAAGAGAATCTAGATTTGCGTTGAATCTTTACAGGACCAGTTGGCTTATCTTTCTTGACCACAGCATCCCTAGAAGCTCCAGATTTTGAGGTATCCACCTTTGCCTTAGTCTCTGGTTGCCCAGGCAACGGTATAGCATCTAGGTCCATATCCCTGCAAAACATTCATCAAATATTTAATCCACATAGAATTAACTGATTCATTTCGATTTTAGCAGTAGCAAGAGGCAAATTTGCACCTAATTCATCATAACCATGACAACATATTTCTTCTAGGAGATTGTTGTAGTGAATATCAGAAAGACCTGATTAAATAATATGCTACACAGCATACATGCTAAATAATATAGCAAATATGCTTATACAGCATATATGCTCATACAGCAAATTGCTAATTGTTTTTGTGTCGAAATATCAATAGTAGTTAGGAAGAAATATCATTACTCAAATGTACTTCATTGTTGTATCTGTAATAAATACTACTGCAGAATAACTGTAGAGGATGAATAGCTTATTCAGATCAATACATCAAGTGGGCAATGTATACACTAATACTTGGTTTCAATATTAACCTGATGACAAACTGTACAGTGAACAAAGCTGAAATGTCTGCATAGTAGGATTAGTATAGTGGCCATATTAATCCAGACTACAGGCACTCAATTCACCAGCAGCATTATATCAATGGTATACATATCTATGCAATAAAATATTCTTGGTGCCATTGTGTTTTCTTCAAATTAAATTAATTCATTGTTAATTAATGCTTTTGAATAATGTTTTTCATCATTTATACAAATTTGCACACATGAATCAAAATTGCAGACAGTGGCATCATTTTTAATATTCCATGCACAATGCTAGCATTCTAACTTGAGTTATAGGCTACTAGCACATACAATATCGCTATAAGATCATGCTATCTTCAGTCAATTATTCCTTCATGATAAAAACTGCATGATAAAACAGAAATAAACATAACTGATTGGATATAAAATGCAAGTCCATGACAAAAATAAAGAAGACATTAACATGCAAAATGTCACCACCTGCCATTTGTTACAGATGTTGCCAAATACTGAACAACAATCACCAGATATGGTCAACAAAAAGTTGGGAGATAATAACAATATGTCACCACTTGTGGGTGGTGGTGACATGAAAACAAATGTGTTGATAAATTATATCATCGAATGTTGTCTATCAATAACAAATATTATGCATTAAAAAATCTCATGCCTTGATTGAGAACAAAAATAATTTTATCTCGCATTTTATTCCATTTCATAAGTAAAAACATTGAATGATGATTGTTTTCGCAAGATATGAACAAGATAAGCCATGCCTTATTTCAAAAACAAAGCAATGGGAATAATACCATATGTTGAAAACATGAATGCCACAAATTGCCAGGTGGGCAATATTCCATTACTTGAGTGGCATCCTATTTTTCAGATTCATACCATATGGATAGACCATTCTAAACATTTTAAAATCACAGTTGTTTTAAGTGACAAAAAATGTTAATTATGCAAGAGTAAATAAAAATAAAAAACATGCATGTCTAAATCTGATTTTCAAGTATGCGTATCTAAAATTAGATGAATTGAAAACTAAAATGCATGCATACATATGATGCACGAGCACTTTGTAAAAACTAATTAACCTGTTTATGTGTCTGGCACAATGGCCGTCCTACTCTGTGATGTCAGAATTTAACTGGAAAATAGATAATTATAATATTTTATGTAATGTGGTTTTAGGGTCCTAATGTCTCGAGTCTGTAAAAGATATACCTGCAAAAAAGACAAATCTATGTGATTTTGGGATCCTACATCTGTAAGAGATCTACCTGCAAAACAGACAATTCTAAGTGATTTTGGCATCCTACATCTGTAAGAGATCCATCTGCAAAAAAGACAAATCTAAGTGATTTTGGGATCTTACATCTGTAAGAGATCTACCTGCAAAAAAGACAAATCTAAGTGATTTTGGGATCCTACATCTGTAAGAGATCTACCTGCAAAAAAATACAAATCAAAGTGATTTTGGGATCCTACATCTGGAAGAGATCTACCTGCAAAAAAGACAAATCTAAGTGATTTTGGGATCCTACATCTGTAAGAGATCTACCTGCAAAAAGGACAAATCTAAGTGATTTGGGGATCCTACATCTGTAAGAGATCTACCTGCAAAAAGACAAATCTAAGTGATTTTGGGATCCTACATCTGTAAGAGATCTACCTGCAAAACAGACAATTCTAAGTGATTTTGGCATCCTACATCTGTAAGAGATCCACCTGCAAAAAAAGACAAATCTAAGTGATTTGGGGATCCTACATCTGTAAGAGATCTACCTGCAAAACAGACAATTCTAAGTGATTTTGGGATCCTACATCTGTAAGAGATCTACCTGCAAAACAGACAATTCTAAGTGATTTGGGGATCATACATCTGTAAGAGATCTACCTGCAAAACAGACAATTCTAAGTGATTTTGGCATCCTACATCTGTAAGAGATCCATCTGCAAAAAAGACAAATCTAAGTGATTTTGGGATCTTACATCTGTAAGAGATCTACCTGCAAAAAAGACAAATCTAAGTGATTTTGGGATCCTACATCTGTAAGAGATCTACCTGCAAAAAAATACAAATCAAAGTGATTTTGGGATCCTACATCTGGAAGAGATCTACCTGCAAAAAAGACAAATCTAAGTGATTTTGGGATCCTACATCTGTAAGAGATCTACCTGCAAAAAGGACAAATCTAAGTGATTTGGGGATCCTACATCTGTAAGAGATCTACCTGCAAAAAGACAAATCTAAGTGATTTTGGGATCCTACATCTGTAAGAGATCTACCTGCAAAACAGACAATTCTAAGTGATTTTGGCATCCTACATCTGTAAGAGATCCACCTGCAAAAAAAGACAAATCTAAGTGATTTGGGGATCCTACATCTGTAAGAGATCTACCTGCAAAACAGACAATTCTAAGTGATTTTGGGATCCTACATCTGTAAGAGATCTACCTGCAAAACAGACAATTCTAAGTGATTTGGGGATCATACATCTGTAAGAGATCTACCTGCAAAAAAGAGACAAATTCATGTTATTTTGGGATTCTGAGTTTGTACAAAAATAAAAAAAAAAGGGATGCAAAAAGAGACAAATTTCATGGACTTAAAATACAACATAATGTGACAATCAGATATCTATGATTTCTTTGACAGTTTGCAGGCCTTTAAACAGTGACATTTTTGATCATTGAATCAGTTTCAACTGAATTTAAATATTTCATATTCCATTTCCTTCAAAAAGTATATATTCCCAAACTGAATTAATTCTCATTTTCAGTTGAGTAAAAAAAACTTTTTTAATAATTTTTCAAGTAGGTCCAAATAACTTTTAGGAAAGGTGCAAGCCTCTTCAAAATATGAAGAATCTTGAAGATATTATGATAAAATCGAATATGAGTAATAAGAAACGGACTTACTCAGTTGGGCAAGTAGGGTCGTAAACATCCATTACGATAAACAGAGACTTGTTGATGAATGAAATAGACGAGGCTGACCAATAATGGAAACAATCATCCAAGTTTAACCAGTCTCCATCTACATGTACAAATGTTTACAGTCATCTATAGCGTGTGTTGAAATTATAATTATTTGGTTTGCTGTTAGCCAACCCGTAGAATAGCAGGGATCAAACAAGTCATCAGATCATGGGCCTATTAGTGTGAGTGTTGCACAAAAGCTGCATCCATGATTATTTGTCTTTGAGTTCTTGATAAGAGTTTATGATTGTTGAAGGTGATCAATGCATTTCCTGCAAAATAAGAAAATTATGGGCTAAATAAAATCAAGATCCAATCTTTGTTGAAAATGGATGTAGAATATATTTTTTCTCCATTCGTTGTATAACAAATCTGCTGATGTAGGACTAAAGTCTACTTCAAATGTGAAAGTCCTAAAGATATAATGTAAAACTACAATGTAAAAATGTAGCAAAATAACCTAATGTAAGGGGTATAAGGTAGCATTGAAAGCCAGCATCTTTGAAGAGTGAGTCTCCAGTTGATATGGATCTAGATTCTAAAAGTCAACTGGAGGCTATGTAGCACATGAGAGACTCATCAGCTACAGCTAGATGTGTGTCTGCAATAAATTTTCGAACAACACAATCAATCACTCCTCTAGATTTTCTGCAAGTTAAAATGATGAATTTTGCTAGTGATGTTAGTGAATTCTGCAAGGAGAATGACAATTGTTGGGTCAAAGTTTTTCTTAAAAGTTAATGTTTTCCATCAACATTTTAAAAGATATCTTAACTTTCCTTTACATGTTCATTTCTAATTTAATCCAGGAGAAACATTTATGCTAAGCTAAATTGTGAGTGAATAAACATTAAACAACAGCACCGCAAAATTTATCTTATGTTTTTTTACAATTTGTTAGTTATGTATAGTTATTTGTTATGAAAATACATGTCAATTTGACGCAAAATTCGGCAGGAATTCATTCAAAATTTAAGATTCTGCAAAGGTGACTGCTATCCATGCTCTGCGAAAATAGAATTCTAGGAGGAGTGAAGAATACAAGTCAAACATTTGTTACAAGCACTCCAAAATATACAAATATTTTGCATCTGAAATATAAATGCATTTTGCCACTGTGGCCCTGTGGTTGGTTATTTTTCATACATGTAGACTTACATTTTGATGACTCTCTGCAATGTTATTCTTGAACAAATTAACATGGTTGAAACTACTTACTTAAATTACAAGAGACCGCAGTGCAGGTTTATTACACATAAAACTATTTTATCTGAAATAGTTTTGCATGTACTACAGTGCTCACCATAAATAAATGGCACCTGGATTTGCTGAAGTGAAGATTTCCCATGTTTAAGAGAATTTTCAAGAGGCTATACATCAGTGGATGAGAGTATACAAAATATAAAATATACATCTATCTAGACATTAATATTTGAAAGTATGAAGTCTCAAATCACCATGGTCTGGAAATAGTGATAGAAAATCCAGGTGTCATTTATTTATGGTGAGCACTTTATATGAATGCATTTTTCCATATGATATTGCACTTTGATCTTTTGATTGCTTCGTCTTTAGGTTTTATTGAAGTCACAACCCTAGGGCGAAGGGGTAGAGGATAGGGAGGCAATGCCGTCCATGTAGGCAATTTTCCGACACTCGGTGCGTGCAGTCATTTGTCCAATGATTACCTACATGGAAGATGTCAACATTGCCTCCCTGTACTCTATAACGTCGAAACCATTTTGCTTCAATTTGGAGTAACTTCGATACATTTGATGACTTTGACACCTTGTTGTTTATTTTCTCTTATTTCCGATCGAGGGGGAAGCCATGTTTTTCTTTTATGGACCAAGATCTCAAGTACTTTTTACTTTTTAAAATCAATCATGTCGGAAAATGGAAATTCTTATTTCTAACAAGTGTCGAAGTTACACAATTACTCATATCGAAATCACCCTAGGCGTCAACGTTGAACCTTTGCCCTGTAGGAGATCTACAAAATAACAGCGTACATCAAGAATTAGATCATATGTATTTCCTCAACAATCTTTGCAACCAAGACTGTCAGTCTCAACCAATCTCTGAAACAAGAATCATAATCAAATAAGTCAACAATATAGATAATTAACTTTGGTGAATGCTGTTGGGTCTGAAGCCAACACCAAGCCAATGACTGAACAAGCCAATGACTGAATGAGAAGAAAATGAAAGAAAAATAGGTCAAGATTTTCATCACAAGTTCTTCCTGATAAAATCGATGTAACTTCTAGGAGATGTAAGATAGAAAGTATTGAATTGCACGACACTCGTGGTACCAATTATTTAAATAACAATTATCTAGGTTTAATAAACGCCACAAAATTACAGATACATACATATTTTGCAGGTTTCATCCTAACAACATCCGGGTACTTTCTCTTTCGCGGGAGAAGGATGCTGGGTCTGGCCCTTTAATTTTTTTTATTTTTCTAGAAAAACTTTAAAACAGAGAAAAGTTTACATCTTAGGACACAATTTTTGACTATATTGAATAAAAAGACATGTTCTTGATATTTTGTTATACTTTAGGCTATTTTAGTCATCGAATACTAAAATATTACCATTTTGGTAATAATAATATGATGGTGTTTCAAAGAATATTTCATGTAGATTTATATATTTCATAAAACATATTATAATAACTGTTAAATTTGTATCATTTATGTTAAATTATTCAGGAATGTGAATATATGAAAAGTTTAAATAAGTTACCAAAACGGTTTACGTCTGCAGTCAAAGTTCTATTCTTTGTTTTCATTTGTTCGAATTAAAATTTCTCTGTACAATTTAGCATTTATCATAGCCATCAGACTTCAAATCAAAGGCTTCGTGTCATTTTAATTAAACGTAAACAATCCACCTGCTGTATGTCCGTTATTAGCAATCTCAAGGCTCATGGTAAGTAGATATCCATCATTTAAAATAAGTAGGTTAGATTAAATTTGGAAAATGGCGTAGTCTTATTTCCTATACTGTAATAGATTTGTCTACATTTAATATGAGCAGATATCACTTGGCTGTCGGGTGAAGATCTTTTCTTCATCCTGGCTTTAAGATATGTATCTCGGAGTGTTACTGGGACCTATCAGATCCATTCAAGTAACCCCTTCTTCAAAAAAATCCTTGATGTAAATATTGGATTCTTTTCAAATAATTTTGTGAAAATTCTAGATCTAGGCTAGCCTTTTGCTTTGCTTATGTATAGTTTGGCTTATGTATTTATAAATGTATGTCTTCTAAGTTGGGGAATATTTCACCATTTTCCCTTTTCTTTGATCTCACCTGGTTATAAAGACGTTATGCTATAACAAAATAGAGGAGCTTCTGTCAGAGAAAATCTTTTATTATCATCATTTTCACCAAGAAAGTTGATTTATATCATGTGCTTTCAATTAGAAGAGTACAGGCCTGTCAACTGTCCCGCAATTTGCGTATTTGTCACGCATTTGCTGAAGAATTTGAAGTCACGCCAGTTACAGTGCTGGTATATATTAATTGCCTAGTCGTTTAATTGGCATATTTTCTTGAATTTTAACATTTAATGTCCTAAACTCCCACAAACTGCAGAAAAGTATACCCCATAAATCATATTTACCAAATTGAGTGTCTCCAAGGCTTCACACCAGCGTATGCATAATGCATTTGTCACGAGTTTGAGCTGAAATTTCACCAAAATGAAGAAGGCTAAGGGTAGTCTCTGCCAGGTTTGTTTATTGTTGTAAGCTTGTAAGTGCTCAGAAGCAAATTAACGTGCGCAAAATAATTAAGTAATCTGATTGGTCTAAACTTTGGTGCACATGCGCACAATGTGTGCCATGTTTTTTCTAGTGATTTCGTTTCGTTTCTTGGAGTTTGCATTTCAGTTCAACTTCCGCAAAAATGGCAGACAATGGACAGAATTAACAGGTAAAATCACTTCGAAATTTCAAGAGAACTTTTTACCTATAATAGCAAAACTTTTGTTTTATTTGTGCATTCTATCTATCAGTAGGGCTGCCATCGAACTCAAATGTCAGTGTCGACAGTCGAACTCTGCTGTCGAAAATATTGTCGACAATCGAACTTTCCAGGGAGAAAAAATCATCGGGAAAAAAAGAAAAATTATTTCTATGTTGTTGGTTCGTTTTTTCCAAATCTTCATATAACTTATATTCATATTGGTATGTAATTGCCTAATATTGTTACTAAATGCCAAGTTAATAGAATATTATAGACGAAAATGGGACAAATACCTGCAATGTTTCGACCGGGATTTATTTCGACTGCTCGGGCGAAATCTCGTACAACGTCTCGCAAGAGAGAAGAGAAGTCATGAAGGGAACTTCCGGGTGAATTTATTTTTTGAAAATGAAATGAATGTGAACAATATTTCCGCAGAATACGCGCACATAACACGTTGAAATGTGTATTGAAATGTATTGGGGCCATTTGGATATTTTCAAGTAAGTATTGATATCGTTTGCTGTCGACATGACGGGAATTTTGTCGACTTCGTTGTCGAACTTGCATTTTGACTGACAAGTCGACGTTCCGACTAATGATGGCAGCCCTATCTATCAGATAAGAGTTTCAGGGGTATGTAGGCAAATTCATTTTGGTAGGAGCACTCTGTTTAGTTTGAAAACGCACCCTGTATTATTATATATCAGCACTGTATTTTTGCGTGAGAGAAAATGTCACGCAAATACGCATTTTACCTGGTAATTGTCAAGCAAAAATATTTCTGTAGAAAATTTTCTAAAAAAGTTTGTGTACACAGCAAAAATACGAACACCGAAAAAAAAACGTACGCATTTTGTTCGGACTTTCCACACGAATTAAGTATATGTCGAAATTTTTCGTACCTTCCCCCCCCCCTCCCCGTTGATGGATGTAAAAAACGCGAGCGATGCGAGCGCGAAAAATTTGAGGTGTTCAAAATTTGGCAAGATGTAATGAAATTTAAACCAAGGTGTTCAAAATTTGGATCAAGATGTTCAGATTTGGACCAAGGTGTTCAAATTTTGAGGGGAGGTGTTCAGCATTTCCAAGTCACTCATGTTAGGTGTTCCCAAGTTGACAGGCCTGAGAGTATGCAATACGCATCTCTGTGTAATAACACGAGACCTTCAAAATGAGCAATGCCATGCTTCCCTTTTATGGCAATATTTCAAAAAGTATTAGATAAATATATATGTATTAGAGTCCATTTCACTGTTTAACTGCGTCAGTAGAAGCTAAAAAATAAGAAATCAAAATATCATTTTGCAATAATATATGGAAAAATATATTCCTATTGTACATGAATGACATTTGTATATCTTGGATTGCTTCTTGTTTGGCTTATAAAGTGTGTGGCCTCTTATATTTGGATGCTTCTATGCCATGTTATTTTCAATAAGATTAACATGGCTGAAATTCTTCAAATTACAAGACGGCACAGGCTTATCGCACAAAAAACTAAAAAATCTGAAGTATACAAATGTCATTCATGTACATTATGAATATACTTTTCCATATATTATTGCACAATGGTCTCCCAATTTCTTATTTTTGCCGTTCTACTGACGCAATGAAGCAGTGAAATGGACTCTAGTATTAATTTGGATAAAAATCAATTTTCAATATTATTTAAGCATAAAATATATTCAATATCATGTAAAAGTAAACAAAAAAAAGACCAATAAGAATAAGAGGCATCAAGATGTTCTCTTTGAGTATTGGATTGTGGGTAATCGTGAAAATGTGTGCTTCTTGCATTGTTAGAGTTTAATAAAGGTCAAACCATTGTAAATTCTAAATTCTTCATGTCCACCATTTTGTTTGCTGGGACTATTTAAATTTCCTATTTTTATTATCCCAACGAAGTGCGGAGGGATATAGGGAACGCCTCCATCCGTACATTTTTTCATTTTCATTTCATTTATTTTCAAACATCTGGTGAAACATACAGATAAGGCGGATGACACCCTAATGGGCATATTATCCGCACAGAGAAGATGAACATGACAAGCAGTGTTGTGTAAATTATGTATCTCCAGCCTCGCACTCCCCACCCCCACCCGTCAGCATGGTCTTAACAATATGGAAAGTAAACTGGGTTGCCAGTTACTGTCTCTGAGCAGTATATTCGAATTAGGTTAAGTGCTTTGAAAAATGATAGGCGATGATATATGTTGGCTTTGCCAATTACATCCGTCCGTCCGGGCAATAACTCAAATACCGTTGGCATAATTTTGTTCATATTTTGTACACATATACCTTATGGGGGTAGAAGTTCTGTCGAAAGCCGATTTTCAAAATGGCCGCCATTTTAGTGCTGATTTTACAGTAATTTAGGTATAATTTGTAAAACTGTAATAGCAATATGTTTTAAATGTAAAAAAATTATATAGGACATTAATAAAGCTATACATGAAGGTATTAAAGAAGCACATGGCAGCCATCTTGAAAAATGGTGGCCTTTACTCGCTATTTTATGATTTTTGCTGTAACTCAAAAAGTAGTGGAGCGATTTTGTCCATTTTAACATATTTTCATCGCATCAGCATTAGTTCCAAAAAGAAGAAAGAAACCAGTCTTGTCAGATTATTGGAAGCGAGGTAATCCCGATTCCCTAGCTAGCTCATTTACTCGAGAAGGAAATTCAATGAAATGTACGTCATGCACACTGGCATGCAAAGAGACTGCTTCAGTTTGTGGCACAAATGATTTCTTGATTTTTTATTTTTTTTGTGGGACCAGTAACAAATTGAAGTGAAGTGGTCCTACTTGGCGACTAACATTTCGCCAGGACCGACCACTTCACATGAATTTTTACTGGTCCTAAGGACCACTACTCAATTTTCGGGACCGAAACCTCTGAATCAAATTTCTGTCACCATTTTCAAACCCTGTTGATTTGAAAGCCTATAGTTTCCAATAATGTTTAGAGACATACCCCCTCAAATTTGTTTACTCTACTTTGTCACAAACCAAAGACATATTGTTCTGCATTTTAGGGGACTTTATTAAAATGATACAAAATTGGCGTCAGAAATTGGGGTAGGGAGGTCTAATTGTTAAAGGATTTGGCTGAAATTTTTTGTGCTTGCTTTCTTTTACCAGGAGGCCAGATGGGAAAAAACTGGAGAGTGAAACACCCTAAAGTTTGGTTATATTTTTCATTGAAAATTGGAATTCTGAAGCAGTTTGACCAGATTTTGATCTTGACTTCCTTGGAACTTTGTTAGTTTAAGTTTGGGTATGTGGATTTAGATGTATCTTGAGGAAAACAGTTTTCGGTTGTAAGTTTCACAACTAGTCTGAGCCCTAGTGATAAGCTCCTGCACTTTTTCATTGGTACACAGAGGGTGGGGAGGGAGTGGATTTTCATTTCTTTTATTCTACTATTCTATCTGTGTCTGTGTTTGGAAAGATTTTTACCCATGACTCTGGGCTAAATTTTCTTGATTAGAGTGAAACATGCTCATTTTTGGTACATTTGCCCCAATAGTACTGAGCTCTTTTAGTATGCTGCTGGACTAGAATTTAGTATATTTTTATGTAATTAATTGTTCATGTAATTTTTTGTTTGTTTTAGACCCCTTTGCTGAGGCAGCAGAGAATGATGTGGGGAGCGTCCAGGAAAATCTGATACACATACGTATCCAACAGAGAAATGGACGGAAAACGCTAACTACTGTACAAGGCATCAGTTCAGATTTCGATCTTAAAAAAATTGTGCGATGTTGTAAAAAGGTAAGTGCCTGCATCTATATATTTTTCTATTTTGATTCCAAGATTCAACACATAGTTGTTATGAAGCCAGATTGATAAAACATGTACAGTATAATTCAAATTATTACATTTTAAATTTTAAAAGATCTGACCAGAAGGATCACTAAAGGTTCTGAAATAACTCTTGAAACAACTTAAATGTCATCAAGGACAGTATAAGTGGTCACTTAATCTCTAATGTAAGTGTGTAACAAGAATGCCGTCAGATGTGGCAATAGGATTGATAGTGTTAAAAACTCATGGTTATTGGCCAATTGGTAATCGCTTTGTAAATCACCCAATGAATGGTGCCATTTTTACCCATCAGTAATGAAGTTGAAAATAAGGTTGCTATTTGAGCAACAAACAGACTGCCAACCTCTAAATAAAGCCTCACAGGCTGGTATCGAAAGATTTCTCTGCTGTGACAGAGCATGTTATTTTTCATAAAAACACTAAAGAAAACCACCCAATTTATTTTTATAACAAAGAAAATTACTTACTCCATGCGATGGATATATAATTCCCAGGTAACTTTCACTTCTGTTTGAAGTCCCCTAACACTAGGAGGAAAAGCTATTGAAAATGGCGTTGGAGTATCATACTCCAACATGTACAATTTCTTTTTTTAACTTTTGAATGGCATGATACAGGGACACTATAATATTTACATATGTTTTCAGCATAACTCTGAAGGTATAATGAGATGTTGATGTAAAATATTGGCTCCTTTTAATTTGTTTATTAAAATGATGTTTAGTTTTTTTGTCCTCTGTGACGGAGCAGTTGCAAATGTGAACTGTGAAACTGCTCTGTCACAGCGAACAATAAATAATTTATTATAAAAAAATTAAAAAGACCCAATACATCCAGATCTCATTAATACATTCAGAGTTATGCTGAAAAATGTAAATACTAGTATTATCGGGTCACGCACGGTATCCTGCCATTAAAAAGTCAAAAAAGAAATGGTACATTTTAAAGTCTGATACTCTAGCACCGTTTTCAATAGCTTTTACTCTAAGCGTTATTGGACTTCAAATAGAAGTGAAAGTTATCCGCAAATGATATATACATTTCATGGAGTAAGTAATTTTCTTTGATATCACGAAACATATGAGTTGTGAATGAATTTTGAAGTATTCTTAATTTTTGGGGGAAAAATAGCATGCTCGATCAGAGCGGACAAATCTTTCTATACCTGCCTGTGCGTCTCACTCTGACATTGCGTTTTCAGCCTTGTGTAGAACCCTGATTAATGAGACAATTTCATTGTAGGAGTTTGCTTGCAACGGCACTGTTGTGGAACATCCAGAGTACGGTGAAGTCATTCAGCTTCAGGGAGACCAACGTTCTAAAATATATGACTTTCTGAAGAAAATTGGATTAGCAAAGGACGAGCAAATCAAGGTAAATATATGTTCTGTTAAAAATAGTTCAATTTTTGATTCAAACGATTTCTTGAAAATATTCATGGACGATTAGGAATGGTATTCAAGCCAAAATTGTTTTTTAATTGAAAGTTGCTGCCTATTTCCTAGTCTGGTGGTAATATGAAGCTTTCACATTCTGCATGTTCTATAAGGGGTGAACCAGCAACATCAACTTCAGTTTTAGTGTACTGATTTAACTTTGTGAAGTCAAATTGTTATTAGATATCCAAATGTTCAAAAAGCAAATCTGACAAAATGAAAAACACCAATTAAAGTAGAAGTACAGTATTCTGAAGGACACATGTGTGTTTGCTGAAGGACACATGTGTATTTGCTGAAGGACACATGTGTACTTGTTTTTGCTGAAGGACACATGTGTATTTGCTGAGAATGATATATAAGGAACGTATCATATATGATCTAAAGTTTGTAATGCATTATTTGAATGAATAAATGTTCACTTTTCTGTTTTCAGAAACATGGATTCTAGACAGCAACAACAACAGGTCCCATCTACAACAATTACTTCACCGTAGAGACTAGTTACAGTATAATCCTTTGTAGCTTTGTAAAATAAACATGTATATAGTATTGATAAACAAATAAACACATACTGTCGAAAACACATCCACATATTAAATAAAACAATGTGATATTGGACATTAAGGACTGATACCATGTATCTTGCGGACATTGATATTTTCACGCATGAGTCTGTCGAATAACCAGTGTAAGCAATAATATGCAAATAACATCACAGAATCTGAGTGTCATGCAAAAGGATTAACACGGATAATGTACTTAGTGAATGAATTATTACCCGCAGGCTACTGGCGACAAAGGATAGATACACTATGCAGTTAAAAACCTCAATAGGCCTATGGCTTTGGCGGAAAGTTTTAAATCTTCATTTTTAGCTGATTTTATTCATTTGTCAGATCCGTTTTATTAATTATGTGATCGAAGAAGCATGTATTCAAATTCATTTCAGTTTCCTTAATGTTGAGTGCCATTGTTGTTTTTGTTTAACAAATTTCATGTATTCTTTCCATTATGCTTACTTCGTAGTTGTATAATATGTGTATCAACAGTTTGTTTTATTTTATGAAAAAATGAAATAAATATAAATGAATAATAAATATATATCCAATGTTTTTATATGAATGTCTATCTACATATGGGCGATGGTTCAAACTCCCTAGTATCTAAATTGAATACACAAGAATCCTTTATATACATGATATAGAATAAAGCCCTCATACAAAGTTTAAACCATTTTGGCTTATATTGGAGACTTGGAGTCTTACCCAATGTTATCGTATGATAGGTGAAACTTTTTTATGTACACTGTATTTTGATTCCAAGAAGTGATTTTTGAAGGACTTCATTTCAAATAAATTCACAATTTTTTGAACAAACTTTTAGAAGTTACACATATCTTTTAATAAGCGCTAATTTACACCAATGCATAGCATTCATACATGTTTTTGCCGAGACAGATAACAAAATTGGTTTATCAATAAGTGAGAAATTGCATGCATGATAATGGTTCAGAGAACAATGCATTTCAAAATTTTAGTTCTAGAAACCAATCGGTACAATAATATTTAAAGCCTAATATGTTCTTCCTTTTAACCTGGTGAGACAATCAACATTGGTTTACTTTTGAAGTTAGGATATTTAGAAAAGATTGAAGACACAGAAAAAAATTCAAAAAGGTAATTGCCACCTGAGTGATGTCACTATGAGGTCACTTAGGTCGCAAAATATTTTTGATATGCGAAAACATTGAAGTGGCACATGAGACATTTATTATTCAAATAGTGTGTCCTTTGTACAATCTTTGCATTGGTGTTAAAGATAATGTTTTTGTACTGTAAAGTGGAATATTTGATGACTAAAGAATTTCAAATTTCATTTGAAAAATGGCGAGATATTTGAGAAAAGTAATCTGACGACTTTTTTTCCAAAAAACGTTTTTTAAATTTCTTAAATAATTTTTAGTCATGACAAATAGTAAATGAATGATATTAACATATTTTCAAACTTTACATGGGGACTTTAAGCGAATATGATCAATAAAGGATTTAAGCCCAGTACTAATGGACAATCTTCGAGACTGAATGGGGGCTGGAGCAAGCAAGCATGTTCATTGCATTGCACAAGATGTCCAGTACAGTCCATAGCTAGAAAGGAGAAAGTATGAAGAATATTTAACCAGGAAAATCATAGGAAATTAGATCTGTAACCTCATTCAACCCCCCCCTTATTGTAATATACTAGTACACTCCCCTTCATAAGTTTGGCAACTTGGAAGTCCCCCTTTGGATCACTGAATTCAAAGCCTGTTTATATTTTGCAATATAAGATAATTCATCATATTTGTCAATGTTTCTAAATTATTGTAATAAAGGAATAAAATCAAAATCCATTTACAGGCTCCTAATGTGCTGTCCAATGAAAACTTCATGTTTGCCAAACTTATGGAGGGGAGTGTACTAAGTACTGGGCCATATATAGGGCAATTTAAAGTGCATCAATGGCTGATGTCAGCTCAGGCATAATGCAAGTAATTGTTCAACTGTTAGGCTACACTTAAGGATGTATATAATAAATATCCAAGACAAACAGACAGTGAAAATGACTTTTGGGGAAAAAACATAATTCAATTACTCATTACAAAAAGTAAACTTACAAAATCCACCTCCATTACAAATAAAAGGTAAGGTTTTATTAATTTCCCTCAATAGACCCATTTCATGGGTTTGCCTCAGCTTCTCAACTTCAAGTCAATAAACAACAGGCAAAAATTGCAATGTTATTGCAATTGCCCTTACGTATACTGTCAATAGATGGCTTGAATGGCAATAGATTCACCCAGTTTATACTTTAAAGCCTTTGAAAGGTAAAAATAAAAATTCTATAAAAATCTTCAAAGATTTCATTATGAAGGACAATCCTCTGGAGAAAATTTAGTTAACTGCCATCTATTTGAGAGACCTGGCTTCAATTATTGACCAAACTCAAACTGCTCAATGAATCCAGAATACTACTTTAGTACACTGGATGAAACATTCTGAGAATGTCTGGAAGGAATTGTCATTGTAAGTACTCTTACTCCATCAGTTTTTCATCAATTTCTGATCATCTTTACATTTTATCTTAATTACAATGTTTTAATCACAGGTAAATGATGCATATGAGCCGAAAGAAATGTACCACAAATTAAAGGTTGTATATAACTATTAAAGTGATTTTCACTCTTTTTCAAAGCTTTAATACAGCATGTTGCTGTTTATGCACAGCTGATTTTTACTTACGCATTTGGAGTGGATACTCATCTTTCATTCCATGTAAAGAAAACAGAAATTGATAACATATTGATGGTGTGGGAGCTGTTACAATGACCCCTACTTTTAGCAATTTTCAGAATGTTTCGTCCAGTGTATTTAATGAAGGGCCCACCTAATTCAATTACAATAAAATTCACATTTTCAAGCTTATTTCTTGAAAGCATTATTTGCTATTATTATCATATATTTGTATTAATATGAGGAATCGATTGCAATTTTACCCAAGTAAGAGTTAATTTTGTTAATTAATGTGAAATAATTTGGGGAATCCACTAAAAGTTTGTTGGTTTCTCCAAATCTATCGTTATAAGGGCGAATCTTGGGGGGGGAATCGGGTCCGGAAAAAATTTTGGGCCACAAAAGGATTTAAGGCCCCAAATTGTGGGCTTTTTTGGTCAACACTGGACCTTTGAGGCCTTATTTTTTAATTTTAGGCCACCCCTGCACTACATTGGCTTTTCCTTGGAATAAAATTACCCAGGTTTTTAACAAAAGTGGGCTACTAGTATTATGTCATCAATATGAGTTGGATGTTATGGACATTCATTGTGACATTTGTTTTGGTGAGTTTCTAACAATGGCCAAATACTTTCACGCTGGTTATAAGAGCACTTACACGTTTGATTAGATAGCGAAAGCGTATTTATTGCATTTAATTGATGAAAATGAATCTACAATGTAATTGATGATATTATTCAAAAACTCATTTTATTGTTTTCTATGCCCTTGATAGTTATATATCCTTTAACAATATAAATAATATGAATACCTTTAAGTGCAAACATGACCTCAAAGTACACTAAGATCAGTGGGTCAAAGATCCAAAACAGTTTCATCATCATAACAAATTGGAATATATTGTAACTAGTAACCTTTATCATGGACTTCAAATAGATTAGAAGTCCATGCCTTTATGAACTCTTTTGGCCTGCACTAAAGACTTTACCTATCAGACCAGCCACTACTGAATGTATATGTTACTGCAACAATATTTCATAAACTAAGTAATTTGGATTACATTGAAAATCATTAAATGGGTTATTATTGATTATTGGTCACTGATAACCAGATATTGGCTTTTGGAGATCAAGACAGATATCTCCCACACACATATGAAGTGACGTCATCACATCTCATGAATATTGATGACCTTACCGCCATATTGAATACAAACATTCAGAAAAATATTATCGGAGTACATATTTTCCTTGTTTTCTCTGTATTTATGGATGATAGGAGAATTTTGATGATGAAGTGAGTTGGGGAAACATGCCACGACGGGTATGGTTGCTGGTGGTAGCGATTGTAGCCTCAAGCTACATTCAAAGAGCCACATGTGAGAAAAAAATCCGGATCGGATTTTTGGGTGAGTTTTTTTATTTTGGTCATCATTCATTCATTCACAGTTTAGTTTCCCCTTGGTTTATCGTTCCCAGATTCTCATCATGAAAGGAAACAAAATAAAGGAACGTGTCTGATTGGAATTTCTGTTCCTAAACGCTGTCAACGTTTGTTTGTTGACAACTCTATTTCGATTTGTCACTGTCAGTCACAGTGTCACTGAGTTTACTTCGGTCCAAAGCCTTCTCTATATTCCGGCTTTGAGTAGAAGATTGAGCTGCCTTGGTACTATGAATATTGTAAATCATTGTGTTACACAGCACAGTAAATATGGCATAATAATATGAAATATGGCCGTGCCTGGAGAGCCTTAAAATTTAAGGCTCTCTAGCCAAATGGGTTACTATAATGCTAAAGAGCCTTAAATTTTAAGGTTCGTTAGCATTACGGCTAAAGAGCCTTAAATTTTAAGGCTCTTTAGCATTTTGATAGTCAATTCTGCTAGAGAGCCTTAAAGGAATTCCAGGCAACAGAAATGACGAAGATCAAACGACTTTGACATATTCTATACTCAACCTATTTTGTAATTTAACAATCAGCACAAATATACATACCATATTAGCAGATATCGGACAAATTCAAAAAGAAAATTCTTTTGATCGATAAAATCACTGATTATTAAACCGGAAGTGTCTTCTTTGAGGTCCGCGAAGATGAAGAAGATAACATATAAAGATTTCAGTCATTTCAACTAACTTTGCCGTCGATTTGATTTATATGGTTTCACTTTTAAATGATCTTCCAATGCTTACTATGACTTCTATTAGTACTGTTTTGACTTCCCCACTTCATAAAAAAACATTATCACTTTTCGCTCCCTTTTTACTTCCGGTCTACCGAGAGAAATAAAAGAACCTTTTCAATCCTCAGTCTAAATTTGGCTTTTTAAAGGTTGAAACATCGATTTTAAACGGACCATTCATGCATATATCGAAAATATATGTCTCTGGTTCACCAGAGAGGGTGTAAGACCAGGCAATCACGTATATAGCCAGAAAAATGTTATTTTTACCATTTTATCCACTATAAATTGCGACGTCCGTTTAGTAAAGATTTTGATGTATAGACATTTATTGATGTATTGGAGGCTAGGATAAAAATGTTGTTGTGTTGCATAAGCTGCTGTTTCCTCGACAGTTCACCTCTTGTACTGTAAATTTTCTTTGTGCTCTCTCATGTGCTTAAATTCTCACTTGTCAGTGAGGAAAATATTATGCAAAAATATCTCCTCACGTGAAAAATTCTAAAATCAGCATTGAAATCTAATGGGCAATAGATTTGGAAGTGTATTCTGTGATGTCCCTGGGCTGATGTACCTGATTCACGATAAACTGCGTCAAGATGTGCTGATCTAGCAGAAACAAGATCCTTTTTCATCCCCAGGTCTTCATCATACTTTTTGCCATCTTAAAATGGGATTCCCTGTATTCTCGTGACTATAGCAAAGCCAATACAAGTGATTAATTTTATTAAACATTGATGATTGAACGAAGGAGCAAGCCCAAGAATTCTAGAAAAAAATGTGTACATAATTTCCGGACCTCACAGAGCAAACTTCCGGCTTGTTATTCAAAATAAAAAGTACTCCGACGGGGAATCGAACCCACGCCGCAGAAGTGGAAAGCGAGCACCCTAACCACTATACCAGAGTTCTTTTTCGATACTTAGATATTTTGCAATTCTATAGTGATATACATGTGTGAAATTTTTAAGTGGCATTCTGGGTTGAAAAACTTTCGAGAGTGTTGTTTTATTCTTTAGATGACGAAAACTTCAATAAAAAACAATATAAACACGGAGTATAAACACAAAGGCTCTCTAGCCAAAACACTATGTTCACAGCTAAATAGCCTTAAATTTTAAGGCTCTTTAGCATTTTGGCTAAAGAGCCTTAAATTTTAAGGTACTCCAGACACTTCGATGAAATATACCTTTATGTATAGATTTGAAGAACATCAGCTCACATCCCCGTCTGAATCTATTGTTATATTTGATTTCTTTAAGTGAGAATAATTTCAAAGTTTCGTCCATTTTATTCACGTCCAGAACCGGAAGCCATTTTTAGCTACAGCGAGAAAATGTCACCATGTGTCAAACTCCGAAATGAAATTTTGAAATATCTAAATCCAGACAAGCAACGCTTTCTTCCTAAATATAATTAATATTCTTAAAAATATTTATAAAATTTATAAAAAATGAGTACTAGGTGCGTGTAGGTGCGTGTAGCACCTTTTCTAGAGTACATACAAAATCAATGAAGTTACGTCTAGCTGTAAGCTAGAGACTCGAGTAACACTGAGTCAGTGTCATTAGGCAGATTAGGTGCATTCATCCACCCTCTGGGTCTCTGAGGATCGTGTTGGCCCCTAATGTCTAATGGTCTAATGCAAGTCCTTACGCCAATCCAACGCATTAGAGGCGGTGTTCACCGTCTATAGGCAGATCTAGCTAGCCTATCCCCATAGATCCCGGCCAGGTTCTTTTGTAGTAGGATCAGGAGCTCAAAGAATAATTCGCAAGATATGTCACTAAAAAAATTTCAAATTTTAAAATGACGATTGTGCAGCCATTTCAGAAAAATATGAGACAAATCATACCTCAATCGAAGCGTCTTGTTATTCTTTAGGCTCTTTACCTTTCTGAACACTAATGAACGGTATTCTGACTATTCAAGCAATCCTGCCTTGATAATTAGAGGCCAATATAGTGATATTTTATCTTTGGGCTCTTGTCTGTCCAAATCTGAACGGTGCTCTCGTGATTCCAGCCTGGGGGTTTCACTCCAATACATCTCTTAATACCTATGTGCCGCGCCACAGACCCCCTTTTTGAGCATTTTTCCCATGTCTATTTCCTCTCAAGATTGAAAGTTTCCATGTTTAATTCCTCTGAGATTCTTGTTGAAATTACCATAAAAGTCAATTTATTTCCTTGTAACTTCATAGATATGACCAGCTGGGATTAAAGTCACTAAAATATCATTAAAAAGTGATTTGCCCCAGGTCGGTAACTGAATACAATTTTTTGTAGAAAAACTGAATTTTGACCTAAAAACTTTCTTAGAGAATTTTTCCATGTTTTTTTTCCACTCAGTTCGGCCATGGGCTCTACCACCATGTTTTATGCTCAATGCCAAAATTGGCTGTGCTGCACATACCTACCCAAATTATTTGGAGTGAACCCCCTGGGATACCAGAAATGTGACGTCATTTTCTGCGTCCATAGGTTATTTACTCGAACCAAACTGTAAAATAAGTACAAAATCTGTCACGGGGAAGCAGGTACCATTTTGTATAAGGAGCGTTTTGAAAGGTGGTCACTTTTTTGGAAATTTTCCAATTTAGTGACGCATCTTGTGAATTATTCTTTGAGCCTATGGGATGATACAAAACGATCTGTCCAACATCTGTGCCTATTCCGTCCTATTAGGACCATGCCATAAATGTGGGGCTGATACACAACCAGCACCATCTATCTAATATCTAATTGAATAATGAAGATTGATAGTGGTCACTGGGGGGACACTGTGGGCTGATAAACGTTTTTTCTTATTTTTTGACATTTGGCACATTGCACCCCCACAGAACTTTGTCGTAAAAATCACCACAGGCTTTCTGTTGGAAGCCCATGAAATCGCGAAGTAGGATGACTAGGGTTCTAGATCTATTAGGCCTATAAGCTGATCAAGCTGATGAAGTAAAGACTTGGTGTACTCGACTCAATCTTTTTTAGTCCCAGGTTCTATGAAGCTGATTATATATAGTACACCAGGTTATGAAGGTGAAATTCCCCTTCCATATATCGTCATGGCTATTGCGCATGGGTCAAATTTGGCAATGGTCTTACATTTGAAATGAAATGAGCTGAAACCAAACCATAGATCTATTTTTTAGATGTTAAGGTTAAAACTCTATTCAAATCCTACTGTTAGCTATAATATTTCCTAAAAATGGGCTAGCCTTTTGTAGATTATTGATGTACAGTAGATGTAAGGTGGTATGGGCATAGCCAGGGAGGATGTGATGGGTGTGATCTCACCTCCCAACCCCACAAAAAAGCAATTTTGTAAAAACTTTTGAAAAACATTAACAAATTATAGTTTGAAATGCTTAAAATGCTTCGATAGCTTGAGGCAAACTCAAAACATTGCACCCCCTTGACATTTGCTGGCTTTGAATGCCCCTCTTGGGTTTTATCTTGGGCTTGTATGGCTGCCATGCCAAAACCTGATAAAGATGTGTATTATTTTTTTCAAAATATTAATATTTTTTCTGGTTAGACTCCAGATTGAAAATCTGGAGTCTATTGTTTTTGCCTGTTTTCTTATTATTATTATTCTTTCTTCCTCCTAACAGATTTTCTCTCCAACTATAACATCTTACTTAATCCAACCTACATGGTTAACTAGGGAATGTATCTGGCTTTCTGGGAAATTAGGTCAAATTTTTATCTAGGTCAAAGGTCAAGAACTAGGTCAAATCCAGTACTTTGTCACTTTTTCCCATTATCTCGGTCGTCCTTCAATATTTTTGATCCGGATTTTTTTCATTGTGTTCTTCATAAAAAAGTAGAAAACCTAGGGTCGATTTAGTTTTTTGGTATCTCAAACCGATTTCGAGATATCAGTGTCCGAAAACGAGGTCCAAAAAAAAGTTCTCCGAATCCAATGTCCAGGATATCAGTCTTATAGGAAATTTTCTCAGGATTCCGAATCTGAAAACCAAATTTCGATTTGACTTCCGGTTCAGAAGTTATGGCGTTTTGAAAATTCAAAAATCGCTAAATTTGGTGCCCCATGTTAATTCAATGGGAAAAAATATTTTTTTGAAGTGTAAAATACGAGATATAGACTAAGCACAGCTAAACATAATGGAAGCCCATAAAAGAAAGGGACCACAAGACCTTCTTTTCATAAAAATGTGGACACCAAAATGCCTAGGTCAAAATCTAGGTCAAATTCAAAGTTTTTCCTTATTTTTGCGATTCTGACACTACAGATTAATTATATTCTTCGAAATTTTTTATACATGTAGCCAAGAGTGTGCTAATAGTGTTAGCTTTTTGCAGTCAGAAAGTATTTTGACCCACTTTTGAGATATGGTGTCCGAAAAGGAGGTCAAACTAAAAAGTTCTCCAAATTTTACGTATGAGTTATGAATTAAGGGTAGAATTTTCTCAGGAATCCAAATCTGCAATCCAAATTTCAATCCGACTATTGGTTTGGAATTTATGTCGTTTTGATAGCTCAAAAATCGCTAAATTTGGTGCCCCATGTTATGGCAATGGGAAAAAATATTTTTTTGAAGTGTAAAATACGAGATAAAGACTGAGTACAGCTTTACATAATGAAAGCCTATAAAAGAAAGGGACCTCAAAAGCTAGCTAGCTTCACAATTTGGTCACCAAAATGCCTAGGTCAAAATCTAGGTCAAATTTATAGTTTTAACTTATTTTTGCGATTCTGACACTACACTTTAATTATTTGCTTCAAAATTCTGTATACAGGTAGCAAAGAGTGTGCTAATAGTGTTAGCCTTTTGCCGTCAGAAAGTATTTTGACCCACTTTTGAGATATAGTGTCCGAAAAGTAGGTCAACATGAACGTTTCTCCAAATTTAACGTATGAGTTATGAATTAAAGGTAGAATTTTCTCAGGAATCCGAATCTGCAAACCAAATTTCAATCCGACACCCGGTTTGGAAGTAATGGCGTTTTGAAAAATTAAAAAATTGGTATTTTGATATCCCATGTTATGTCAATTATCTTTGTCACTATTCGTCATTACTCCTTTATCTTTTTTTCATCATGTAGCTTAAAGACAGTCCTTTCATTATTGTAACTGTCTTTTATGATTACTCTTACCGATTTTAAGGAATGGCGTCCGGAAAGTAGGTCAACATAAAAAGTTCTCAAAATTAAATGTATGAGTTATGACACAAACGTAGAATTTTCTCAGAAATTCGAATCTGCAAACCAAATTTCGACCCAAATTCTGGTTAGATAGTTATAGCTGTTTGAAGTCTCGAAAAGTCGATATTATGATATCCCCATGTTAAGCCAATGTAGACGAAGATAAGCTACTTAAGAGTTGACTAAATGTCTGTATTCTAGATGACTCCGCTTATTCTGAATGGCTCAGTTTACAGTATTTTGGATGACTCAGCTTAAAAAAAGTTTTAAATCTGGAGTCTTAAATTGAACTTGTTCAATTTACAAGTCTAGTTACTTTTGTGACTGCTTGATCCTTTGGTAGAATTATACCTAAATGAATTTTAATTTAATTATACCTTAAGATTTATCAGAGAAGACATTATGAAAGATAAAAGTCAGAAGGCTCTACATGACCAGAAAGTAGGCATATCTGTTCGTTGACTTCATTTTATGCAAACAATTTTAGTTGATTGTAGAAGTATTTGGAGGAATTTAGTTCCACATACACTTTCAGACATTTTCACAATGGAAGCTCAAAACAATTAGAAGAGAAATATCATTTCAACATTTAATTGCAATATTTTGATTTTGAACTATTGTATCAAATTGTTGTATGTACATAGTAGAAAAATGTTTGGCCTCTTGATAATTTATAATTACTATGTGCATTTTCTCTGTTTTGCAGGATGTAAGTTCAGTGCAGTTTGCCGTACTGATGAAGTCTGCATTAACGGTAAGCATCAAATTTTAGCTCCTCCGAAATGAAAATATGGAAGGAGTACAAATAGGAATTTTTACTTCATTTATTTACTTGTAAATGGTGTTTTGCCCAGTGATCAGAAACTTGGATCAATCATAATTTTCAAATAAAAAAGACCCCTTTATCTTTTCGAATGAAAAGTAAGAGCCTAAGAGGGGCTGGTGCATCAGAGCAGGGGTTGGTCTAAGGTTCTGAGAGCAGCCAGTCTAAATGGTACTATAGACCAGTTGCCATGTTATTTTCCTATAACGTTGTTGGTGAGAAATTACTACCAATGTCAATGTCATCCCTGACCTACCATAATGTCTCAATTTATGATTGTTCATTTATTCTTTATTTCTTGCGCTTATGTGATAGGCACTATTGCAAGGAGAACCATGTTGGTCACCTGCATTATCATTATAAATGGGCCTGTATAGATCAATTAGATCATTCAACACTATAAATACTGTCAGCAGGCCTGTATTTATCAGCATAGCATTTTGACCTTTTAGATGACCTTGACATACCATAAATAAATACAGAAACTGGTATTTATTCTTATTATGCACCTCATTAAAATACTCAAATCTGATTGGTTAAGAGCTGCAGGGTCTATTGCCATACGTTGCAGCAAGATCTTGTTTTATTCAGTATTGAAGCAACGAGATCTCCAACCATCCTGTATGCCAGAATACCTATCCTCGAAAAAAATACTAGGCTCGGCTTCTGTTTTAGTAGACCCATTCTTTAAAATAAAGTATTTCTCAAGGGAGATGCATAATAAAATAAATGCTGGATGACCATGAGGTGGATATGCAAGAACCTTCGCCTCGCCTAGTATTTTTTCCTCGGATAGGTATTCTGGCATATCCACCTCATGGTCATCCAGTATTTGTTTAATATTGACCTTTGTTGTAACTCCATGTCTCTTAAAGAGCCTAGCATGCATTGTAAAGATATTATATAGATGTTTGTTAGCATGCTGCTTGGTCATTCAACAATTAACTTGGGACCATTAATTGTTTTAAAAATACCATAACCCTACTTAATATATATGAAGTTGGCAATTAACTCAGTTGAGAAATGTTTCCTATCTCCATGGAGTTTAATATCCCAATTTAATTGATACCTGGTTTTATGCAGCCTGATATGGCTTAACAACAGGTATTTTCCAGTAGGTTTTTTTAAGTTTTATTTTCTTACCAAAATCACATGTTTTGAGCAATTTTGCCACTATTTCTATGAAAATATTTCCACGAAAAATGAAAAAAATTCGACAATTCTGCCAGTTGTTTCATTCCTTTTGTACTGAAATCCCTGAATAACAACTACATGTTATCATTACCATGTTCTGATTAGATAGCTTTGTCATTAAGCTGACATGTACCTCTCGTGACTGGGTATGGTTGTACTTATCTTCTTCCTGTTCGAAGAATACGTCTCTCCATGTAGCGAGTGAATTCTAGCTAAATTAGCCTAAACAATACAATAAAGAAACAACTAGGAGAGGACTTCTCAGAGTTAAGTGAGGTCGTTGAGAAATTATGATCACGTCATTGTATTGATCAGTGTGGGGGAGTTTTTTGTAGAATGGACCTCCTTTAACGTATATGTACCACCTTAATAATAAAATTCAAACTCATCCTAGAATTTTGGAGTAGAATACCGAGGATTTTCTGATACATTTCCATCTAGATGTTTACTATTCTTGTCCTTGTTTTTTGATGAGTTGATATGACTTAATGTTATTTTATTAATTGGTTAGAAGTTATTCATTCATTGGTATAAGGTTTGCAATGAAAATCAATGTCTTGTAATTACATCCATGCAGACCTTTAAGTGTGTTGTAAATCAGTGAGAGGAGAGAATTGACACTGTTTTTGAGTCACAAATGTGTTGTGTATGTACAGGTTGTCGGGGTTTAGTTGTCATCATTTTATGTGAATTATAAGACCATGGTATACCTAGTGTTAATTTCTAAAGTAACCTCTAAAGTCAATACAATTTTATTGGGATTGTCATTGCCGTAAGAACAATTTTTCTGTACATGTTTATGGTCACTTCCTCTGAAGTCATTGTTTACCTACCCTTTGCATTCGTTTGACTTCACTTCTTAAAAGAGAGCTTCGTCCTCACTCTTTCAAACTAAAATAAACCTGTGAACTCACCGCGCCAATCAGTGTTCGTCGGCCAAATTTGACCGACGTTCTTTATACGTTATACTTTATATACTTTACGTCCTTCTGACGTCATCATTGAGTCCGGCATTGACCAATGACATGTGCATATTTAATTAGAACGCATTTGGGGTATGTTTCTTCAAGCTCGCCGTTTGGTGGAAGGTCAGCGCGTAGGTCAAAAGTGATTTACCCAAACTGTCACTGGTACCCATCGTGGGGGCGGGGCTACTAAACTGGGGCGGGGCTACTAAACTGTAATATGGTCTCTCTTAGGCAGAGTATAGTTTAACTAGACTCTACATGTATCTTTCTGCTCGCTGATTGATTGAGGAAATATCAGCTCAGTCAGTTTGAATTGAATTATGACCCGGGTTGCCAAGGCCACTGGTTGCTGAACTGTAAAATTGTATTATTAATTATTTAGAAGGTACTTTAAAACTAACCTTTGCGCTCAGGGTAAAATTTGATTTGCATTATTCATTGTTAATTTCTCTAGTTTCCAATCTGTTTTTGCTATAGAACAGGAGTATTATGTCACATTGGTCATTGTGTGAAATTGAAAGTTATTTGTGACTATATTTCTGTGATGGAATTCACATAATTGGATACATACCTTTCATATGAGAACTGACAAGTAGAATCGTTATCATGTAAGAACTACGTAATATGCTTATACTGTATAATGATGTCGGGTATAACCTACCTTGTAGTTTCATAAGGACATCTGTTACTTAATGTTGTAACTTGCAATAGAGGCAGAAATAATATTATTAGCATATAAGAGAATATACATACTAACATATACACTCTAGCGAGAAAAGATCGATCAAGCCTAATATATCTAATTCAATTAATAATGACCATTTTCTGTTTGTGTGTTCGATCCTCTAGATTAGTAGTTGACCAGTATAGTTACATTGTGTTAATCCCTTATTTGATTGAACATTCCATCGTTAGTCAAATGGGTTCTTATGGTAGGTCAATAAATGCTCGAAGAGTACTGTATTCTACAAGTTTTGTCATTGGAAACGCACTATTCAAGGGATTGTATTACTAAGGATTTCTGTACATTGATCCTCTATTGAAGGTGACGAGTATATTAGTATAGTTTCATTGCATCAATTAATTATCCCATCGAATAAACTTCGGGAGACATAGAGAATAGCTCGGTCCTTACGTCTGTCTGTCAGTCTATCCGTGCAATAACTCAAATAACATTGGCCAAATGTTGTTTATATTTTGTATGTATATGCGTATATGCCCCAGGTGAGCACAAGCTCTGTCTGAAAGCCAATGTTCAAAATGGCCACCAATTTTAGAATGGTCGAGCTTTTAATGTTCAATTTTACTGTATTTTAGATACAAGTGTACTTTTAGGCCTAATATGTTTTAAATGCAAAAATATAGGTATAGCTGTTTAATGGGATTTGCTATACGGTGGCATCTATACTGTTATCTAGTTAATGATTGAGCATTCCCAGTTCAAATAAGCTTTTTATATAATATTTATTGTTAACAAGTATTTGCGTTAAAATAGCATTGTAGAAATGCGTTTTACATTTCTATTTATTCGCCAAGGTTACACTCTTACGTTTTAGGCCATGACAGCTACTTTTTGGGTAATCAAGATCATATCACCACCAAGACTGTATATTTATTTCTAATATTCAGAGCTTATATATGGTGCCAAGTTACTCACTTCGAGAGCCATGTTTGATTTTGAAACTTATGGCTCTCGAACGGGGAAATGGACAGCTGAAATATAGTGACCTTTGAAACACGAATTAAGTCGATCAGCGTCTCTAACTATATCATACATCATTATCATCCTTCCGTGCAAGTATTTGAGCGCTGAAGTACTTCCTTTTCGATCAAAACTTGTAATTGTTAGTCGAGTGAATGTTTTTTCTGCCAAATTCCAATATGGCGTTTCTGCTCGGACATTTTCGTAAATCTCCGGAGGTTGTCCGAACCTAACTCATTCTCAAAGTTCATTTCGTTCATTGCGTATCTCGCTCCTAGCAAACCGCCATATTGAGTCAAAAAAACATTCACTCGATGAACAATTTACAAGTCTTGATCGAAAAAGAAGTATTTCAGCGCTCCAATACTTGCATGGATTGATGATACTGATGGAAGACACGGTTAGAGACCAAAAGTAAGCCGCTGATCGACTTAATTTGTGTTTCAAGGGTCACTATTATATCAAAATCCACATAGCTTTCGCAGGAAGTAAGTGCCAGGCTTTGCCACTCAGAGTAGATTAGGAAAGGAGTGAATAAGCACGGTGGAATAAGAGGATTTTATCTCATTCAGAGTATAGATGAAGCTCTCTATAAAGAAAAGCAATCATGTTATTGAAAACATTGCTCATGGTCAATAAATGGATGTAATATAAGTTGTCCATGCTTGTTTTTCCCATTGAACAGTAAGATGGATGATGTGTCACTTCGAATGTTTGAACAATTGTATGTTACTTGTACTTTCCCTAGTTCATGTAATTTACTTCGGTAAATAGTTTATCTCATCTGGGAAATGAGAAATGTTGAATGCTATAAGGTAGGCCCTTTGGGATGACTTGAACCTTGTATGAAAGTCTTAATTAATTGATACCAAATGACTGTGTCTTCTTGACCTTCTTTGAATTGTAATAATGATTCTGTACAGCCTGTTCTCCTGGAGGAGAGTGGCTACCTCTTCAATAGATATGAACTGAAAAAAGGATATCACAGACTTTACATAAAACTCCCATCGCAATGGCAGCAGTTAGTAACCCCACTGAACAAGGTTCAAATATTATAAGGATATGGAGAAGTTGTTTGTCCATCCGTACATATAATCTGTCTGATGACTCAAATACCAGTTGACATATTTTGTTCTTTTATAGGTCTTTTGGGTGTGGAACCTCTGCTAAAGAATGCTCATTTCCGAAATGGCCTCTATTCAAAATAGCTGCCATATTTTGTAAATAAATCTAATTGTTAATAGCTCAAATCCTTGTTGATGGAATTACTTAAAATTTACGTGGTGATGCCTTAGGAACATAAGACCTCTGTCAAATAAGAAATTTCAAAGATGGCTACTGAATTCAAAATGTCCACCATTTTTCGTAAAAAGAAATATGTTTTGTTCGGTGGAAATTGCTACTCTCAGGAGTTGTTGTTTTTCCAGTTCGTGTTACCATTACCATGAACACAGTTCTTGAATTATATCCTATTACTTTGAATTCCCCCATTCTAGTTACAGGAAATGAAACGGGACTTATTGATTAGACTCGAGGTATCTCCTAGCTTTAAGCAGTTCAAGAGAACATAATAATCATCATACTTATTCAAAGCCAATTGAGGTGAAATTCATAGACCAAGATACAATCAAAGCAGAAATATTGTCATTATTACCAGTATAACTGACCACAAAATAAGATATGTATTCTTAAGTGGAATTTTAAGAAGACTAGATGGAGGACACATACAGGAAATGTGTGTGTGGCTGCAAGTATATATCATGAATATAGGTTGCAGTGCTCCATATATAATCCCATGACATTTACATCTCTTATATGTATATCATGTCAAAATATACAATTCTTATACACATTAAAACAGGCAATGAAAATTGCCATGTTGAAATTTTCAAGTTGAAAATAGAACACTCATAAACAGTTTTAAGTATTAATTATAGTATACTGACAACCATCTTTACTTTAACATATATAATTCACAGAAATATGTAACAAAAATAGGTAAGAAGATCAGGATATTAGTCCTGAACTAAGTTATTCAGACACATACCAAGAAAATAACATTTAGTTCATGGCAATTTGATTCTGGCTGAATAAATTAGATTACAACTAATACGAAATCCATTGGTCTTCATATTGCAGGAATCTGCTGCCAATCATTTCCGGAGTTTTCAGCTCCACTAATCCAGGCAGTGTTAATATACATGTATAGGCACTCATTAGGTCATGAATATTTGATTATCGTAAATAATCATATTGACTTTGTTTGTAGCTATAATTGCGATAGATAAGTATACGAATTGGAGATGGTGTGGTCCAATATTGGCTGTTGGAGTGGCTATAGTTAAAGCTATCCACATTTTCTTGCCCACCAGCGGATCTAGACGGGGGTGTGGGCGGCGCACGCCCCCCCCTAAAAAGTCGGAAAATTCGTGTTTTGCCTCATTGCTTTTTACAAAATTTGAATCTTTCATACTAACACAAAATCCTGGATCCGCCCTTGTTGCCAGTGCACATGTAAATGTTAGAATCGTAGATTTCTGTTTCTCTGCGCTCTCATCTTTACCTGACCTCTGTTTTCTTTATATCCATTCTGTTTCATTTCTTTGTTCAATACTGTTGGCCACTTATTCATGTACATACTAGCTTGAAATCATGGCACTCATATACATTCTATTATACAGTGACTTAAGTGAACATTAAACTATAAATAAGAAAATAGTTTTTACGTTAATATATCTTATATTGACTCTCTGATATCATAAAAGACAGTCAATACAGCATACAATATAAAGCATATTTTCTTTATAAATAATGTTTCAATTCTCCATAAACTGCTGATGGTGTAGTTCATCTTTAAAATAAGCATTGAAGAAAACATTAATGCATTGTCTCTTTTAACTTTAGATGTTTTTCATTCAGTGATTGATCTATATCTTTTCTTTGCAGTGTCACTCTCAGATTAATAGAGCATGTTTATATTTTTGATTCATGAGGTGATTTTTTTTATCAACTAATGGATATGATATCTTTTATCTACTAATGGATATGATATCTGCAAGAGTGAGTGAGAGCGAGCGTATCAATGGTTTTCTTTTATTCCATAGTTAAATGATTGAAATAACACCTGATGTGTTAACCCCATTGTATTATGCTATTCTAATTGACCAAGTGCGTCATCACTACTTAGGAAAGCTTATATTTTGTTTACATGAAATCTTTATTAGATCCAATCAATCCATGATGGTTTCGTGATTGTAATATGTGACCTAGTGGGGTTCATGATAGCCTGGGGACCCTAGAGGATAAGTAAAGGCAACAACCTGCACTGTTATATTAATCACAGTGATCTTACTGTATTCATCATCGTAAACCTCCTAGCTGTAATTATTAGAGTTAGAATCAATTGTCAATTTAGATACAAAAACATTTTTTAAAGGTCGGTGTTTCAAGGGGTTTCAAGGTCGTGGGGTCATGGAGGTCAAGTCTTTTGGTGCAGTAAGGTCACCACAGCCTTCCATCAATTTATTTCTTAATGCATTTGCAGAAAGATGAAAGATGTAATGAGTATCAGAATGCTTATTTTGAGCATTTTGAGAACTATTCAATTTTGCAAATTTTTCAGATTATTCCACTGCGACAATGGAAAAGTTAATTCTGGAATGTGCCCATTTTAATTATGACCTCATTAACTAAAATGCTATTATTGAATGTAAATGCACGAGTCATTTTAATAAAAGAAGTCATGCATGATCATTATAACTTAGCGATATTAAATACTAGGTCATGAATGGGAGAATATACAATGTATGACAGTTTCTTGTAACATGATTGATAAATGTTTGTTTAGTTTTCATTGAGTTTTGGCTTCCCTTAATACAGTATTTCATTTTACTTCTTTAAAATAGAGCTTCAAGTGCACTATTTCAATGAGAGATTATCATTCATAATGATCCTGCTTAGCATATTACTGATCCTGTATAAACCATTAATGATCCTACATGTAAACTATTTATGATCCTGTGTAAACTATTAATGATCCTGTGTAAACTACTAATAATGATCCTGTGTAAACTATTAATGATCCTGTGTAAACTATATGATTCTGATATGTTTTTCAGATCGCCTGTTTGGCAACTGTCAGCCAAAGTCAGCTCTCCAGGACAACTATAAATACTTCCTTGACCTGGATACCCTGAAAGTCCTTGAGGAAGGCATATACAACCTCATCCTTAGTGGCCTTTCCTGGGAGAGCTTCTACACACAGTGTGTTCTCCAGAGCATTCTTGTAGCATACAGGACAGATCGACAGCCAGACCTGAGCTATTGTAACGCTGCCACCGAGCAGTCAGATAAAGCCTTGGATGAAGATGCTCTGCAAGTTTTGGCGGATTACTTCAAGGATTACTATGATGATATTAATAATAGCTTACGTGTTGTAGAAAAACAATCTGAGGATTATCCAGATTTTAATGCTGAACCTCTTCCTTATGATAAAAAAGATGAGCTTGTGAACTTACATAAATATCAACTTCGGGGCTCTGATGGTGGCTTTGATGTTGATAACATTTTGGCCCTTCCTCCTAAAAAAAATTATGACACTTCCCAGAATTATGACTTGACAAAAGAATCTCAGAATGGTGATGATATTGATTTGGACGAAATCCTCGAAAATGCTGACCCTCGGGACTTGTTTGTGCTGAGATCGTACCTGAGTACATTGAAGGATCTGGTAGAGGAGTCGCCAGCTCCCATGGATGGAGATTCTAAGGCCCCTGGAGGTGAGGAAAATGTGGCCACTGGGGATGAGGCTAAGGAACATGGTGGTAACAGTGCAGAAGAACAGCAGTCGCCCATTAGTAAAGGTAACATAGTAGTAGATATAAAGTGTCAATTCTTTGTGTTTTTTATCAAAATCAATGTAATATATTTACAGGTTATAGTGGCTTACCCATAAGAGGGAGTATTAGGTGCCATATAATGGTATGATTTATGATATGTTTTAAGAAATGTACATGGCATAAGGGATGGTGTTGTTCAATAACAATTTATTTAATTCCATTAGGGGAGGAGATATATTATGATTTCGTTCGTGAAGAATGAACAAATCAATTTTTTCAAACTTAAGAAGATGGTTACTAAATAATGATGAAATGAACATTTTTTTTTTTCATGATTGTCAACATTTAGATAAAATCCTAGAGCTGAGCTCTGAGAGGTGATATTTCAATTAGGGGGAGTTAGTCTTTGGCATCTTTACATGTCATGAGATTCAGTTTGCCCAAACCTCAAAACCATTTCCTGTGATATACCATGTTATTTCAATACTGTTATATGAATTATCAATATTATTATTGGTATTAGACATGAAAAATGACACTTATTTCAGATACGTGGACTACCATTGTTATAATCTACCATTAATACAATCAATTAGGGTATGTTGTCACGAAATGAAGATTGATTTAATATTTACACTACACTTGATTTCTATTTCAAGATCTGTTTTTCACAATAATTATGTCTTCAAATGTTGAATGATTTGATGGATTGTAGTCTCTGATATCTATAATGTCAAGTACCCTATGTGTCACAGAGTAAACAAGAATTGGCGAGGTGTTTCACAATATCTCTTATTAAAATCAATGTTGACGGGAGTGAAATGGGGGATTGTGTGTCTAGATGCTATTGAGCTTTATGAGAATCTAATAAATAAAGCTTACCATTTCTTTGATAGGCGCTATTTCATGACGTACATTCTTCGAAGATATCAACATGATTAGCCTTGGCTGAAGATCATTTATAAGGCAATATATCAAAGAGCTGCAGGATTTTGCTGCTAACTGAAACTTTTCACCATCACTTTTATCTGTTTTGATTGAATTGATGTTTTTGTTCTTGCGTCCCCCCGATTCCATCCTTCCAGATATAATTGATTTGGGGCTAAGAAATGTAGATTCAAATACAAAAATACTGTTTTTTTACATCTGTAACAAATGGTAGGCGGTGACAACTTTTCTGAAATATTTACCATTTCTAACTTGTGAACATTATTTTATGTAGAAATGAATGATCAGTATCTTCCGATGTTCTTGAATAAAAAAATTAAAAAATTACCCCCCCCCCCGCCTACCTTCACTTTATATATATACTTAACCTTTAGCATGCTGCTGGCGGATGTATCCACCCGTGCTTTACTATTCCGAGTGACTGCCAGCGGATCCATCCACCCGATTTCAAACTTTTAAAAACTTTACTTTTTCGCGCCATTCTTATGATCCAATTAGATTGCACGATATATTCAGTGCCTTACGTGACTTCCTGTTGACTCAGAAATGGTGATATTTCGAAAAATATTTTTAGTCGGTCGGTGAACAAATCGTACAAAATGGTGGCGAAATACGATCACAACGAAAATGTGGAGGAAATGGATTGCAATTTTGAGCTCTTAAGGCTCTTGGAAGCCCTCTTTGAAAAATAAGCCAGTAAAGTGGGATACATTTGCTGGAATAAGGCAGCATGCTAAAGGTTAAACAAGATGGCTGCCAGTAGAATTAAGATAAGGGATGATAGCCTCATACCATGTATAAGATCAATTTCCTTTCCACATCCTGTGTTCAAAGCATCACATATGAGAGAGTAATAATTATACAGTACCTCATAAACTAAATAAATATGACAAATTATATTAGAGCACAGTGTTCTCAGGATTTTTTTCTCAAGTAGGTGCGAAATTCTCATTTTCACAATTCATAACCATATTGCCCATTTTCATGAATTTTCTCATTTCCAAGTGATTGCAAATGAATTCTCAGGTAGGTACCTGTTTTCAAAATCACAGGTGGGTGCTGCGCCCACTTTGTTTAATGCTGGAGAGATCGCTGGAGCATATTAGAGTATATATATATATGACTAGGTATGTTCATGTTACATGTATTATCACGAATGCCATTCAACCTAGAGTTATTATATTAGAAAGACGTCATTAGTTCAAATTACATTATTAGCAGGAAACATATTGATCTAAGATAGTCATGATGGCTGGTGTACCATTTGGCAGTTTCTTTTTCCATTAGGATTTTAGTCTTGAGTTAATTCTCTGAACTCATCCTCCCCTCCTTATTATCACGCGGTACTAACTTCGACCGTTAATTTGAATTTTTGACCTACCGGATGTTTGAAAATCAAGGATTATGAGTCTCATACTGCACCGTTTTTCTTCAAACTTGTTCCATTCAAAGCATAACAAAAATCCCTTTTTGTTGGTACATTATTCTCTTAAACAGAGTCCCTACTTCCAGCAGCCTTTTGGTCCCCAGCTGTAAGAAGGCCTTCTAACAGCTAGGGACCAAAACTCTGCTAGAACGAGGGACTCTTTACAGTAATGCACCGACAGAAAGGCAATTTTGTTTTGCTTTTAATGGTGTAAGTTTGAAGAAAAACGGTGCAGTATGAGACTCGCAATCCTTGATTTTCAAGCATCTGGTAGGTCAAAAATTCAAATTAACGGTCGAAGTTAGTACCGCGTGATTATGTCACCACCAGAAGTTTTAATATTGTTATAGTCTCCAATTTATTTTGGGATTGTGTTTGATGGTTGGTGTTTAGGGTCTGTAACAAATGGCTAGTGGTGACATTTTGCTTGGTAATGCATTGTTTAATGTAGCCATGTATTGATGGACCATATCAATGTAACAAATGGCGGGTAATGACATTTTGCTCGATAATGCCTTATTTACATTCACCTCCAGAGGAGAAGTATGTATGGGGTATATATGGATAGAGTGAGCACAGGACTTGACGCAAAACTATAGTGAATGCTTTTCTTATGCAAGAAAGGATAATTGCTGTCAGTATTACAATAGTAATTACAGTTATCTCACTGACATTAGACCAACTAGGTGCTAATATGCACTCTGATGTAAAACTGGAAATCAAATGTGAAATATGTTTGCTTACATCAAAATGATGAATATTAAGTTATTTTAGTCAAGACCAGTGAAATTAGGCAACCTGATGAGAAAAAACTTGGTACATTACAGGGTGTGGTACATTACAGGGTGTATGTTTGTGAATAGACACTGTGACTATATCTTGAAGACTGTTATGTGCCTCTCAATGAGCAGAGAAGATAAGAGGTTCCAGTAGCTATTTGACAATTGTCTGTCTGTTCATCAGCATACAACCTGTCACAGGGTCAACATTTTCAATATAAAATGGCTAAATAATTAGAAATGAATAAAAAATATTACATTTAACCTGACTTAAACATGACGATGCTGTATATAAGAGTTTTTCATCCAATCAGATTTTAGCTGAACTGTTCTCTCATTCTCAATAGGATTATTCATTATATAATTTACAACCATGGGGGGACCTCCATCTTGAGATATGTTACAATCCATTGAAGAAATTTGAATTTGACAGCAAGTTGGTTCTTTTATGGACATCTATCCCCATCCTGTTTACAATGTGTTCATTTATGAAAATCAAGTGACATCATAGAACAAAAATGAAATGACATCATTACATGAAGCATATTCTTGACTTTATGCCTCTAGATGTGCATCCCAATGGGAGGTTCATGTATATGTCATGTAATATTAACTTTCACTGTACAAATATGATGATACCTTTCATAATGTAAGTGTTCATAATCTATTTTTGCATTCATTTTTCAGAGGAGGGTGCAGATATCCCAGCAACTGGTACTGATAACAAGGCAACGATGGAGGTCCTCGACAAATCCTGGCAGCGAACAAGTGGTACGTATTTAATAAGGATTCATGGGGAATATACCATTTGCACTTATATAACAATTGAAATATATAACCCAACCTGCTCCCATAATAATAGTATTCCCTTGTTACTAATGTTACTAATAATTATTATAGACTACCCAACACAATTGGATCAACCTGCTTCGGGATCAATAGAGGGCATGGTACTCTGAAAACTCAATCAAGTCCTGTTAATATTAATAGGTTATAAAAAGTAGACCTGAATTATTAATGTGGTATACATTAGCAGCATTATTATTGCTGCTTCAACCTAATGATAGTCAGATACACACTAGCCTTATATCAAGTCTGTGGACCCCCCCCCCTCCCAACTCTGTTCATCTCCAGTAGAAGCCAGGTCTATAGTGGGACAGGGTCACAATGGCTTGAGGCAAGACTAGATTCAGATGTACAAAGGGCAAGATAGGATAGATCTTATGGTGCAGTTCATTGGTACTGATGTCTGATGTCAAAGTCATAATTAACCACTGACGTTTTATTCAATAATTTCTCTTAAGATACAAAATACTGTGCTAGAAATCCGAATAATTCCCATCATGATCGTAAAATAGCACCAGGTCACTATTATAAGTTCAATATGGTTTGCTAGATGTTGTAAAACCTTTCCTTCCATAACTCGCAATATAAACCTTTAGACCAATTTTACTCGTATTGATTGGGGAAATGTATATCATTACAAAATACAGAAGATAATCGAGTAGTATTTTCTCGAGTATTAGAATATGAATACAGTACCATAATTTTAGAATGAACCATGTTTTTCTTTTTTTGAAACTTTCATTTATAAAGTAATGAAATACAGTAGTGAGTTTGGCCTATTGTGATTGTTCTTTGATCATTATAAAATAAAGAAAATCAGAAATTTTGTATTCATGTTCTGATAAAGATTCAATTATAAAGGTTACTGTAGAAATAACTGTTGACGCAATCAGCTGTCAAAACGACAGACGATAAAAACATTCTATATTGAAAGCCTACATTAGAGCTATTGTAAATCAAATTATGGATGAAGTTACTAAAAACAATCTTTGGTAAATACAACTTGTACATTATTGATCTAAAGTGTTGTAACTTAAGAACTGCCTTATAATCGGAACTTGATTCTGCTGTCTGATTGGTCACTAAAGAGGGGGGCTGGTAGCTCGTGATAAATATGTAAGCACAAGCGCCAAATCAAAAAACCATTAAGAGTGTAACCTGTCACAAAGAAAACAAAACACAAATATCCCAAACTATGATCAAACACAAAATGAAATAATATTGAACAGCCCTTTCCCTTATCTTGATTCATAATGTTTCAGTTGCCATAAAATGAGAATTTATAAGTGTGAATGCGGGTGAAGCAAATATCGGGATACTTTTGATTGGTTCCGTAGAGATCTTTTAACGGGACAGAAAAATAAGCATTTCTATCCAAGGTGTGTTATAACACTTTGGAAGTCAAAATGCCGTTCCCCATGTTTCAGGAAACATATATGACAATCCAAAAACTAGAATACCAAGAAGTCTTTACAATACTTGTTGAAGAACATAAAATTGTTTCAAATACTCTTGACATCAAAAAGGTTGAAGGCACAAATGATCATAAAGGATAAGGTATAAATAAAAATCTTCAACCTCCCCGACCCAAAACGTTTGGGTTTATTAATATAATGAACAAGGCCATAGCCTTCCTAAAAACAAGGAATATGAATCTAGGAGGCCCCAATAGACCTGCTCCTCCTATCTAAAAGATGGAAGTACCCATAATGATGCTATTTTATTATTATTACTCGCTAAATCCTGTAATACCTGTAGAATGTCTTGGAGCATTAAGTCATTGCATCATAAAAATCCAGATATTGATTTCAGTTTCTTGCTGACTATAAGCAACAGGATAAGATATCATGTCAGGATGGCCATAGTTAAAATATGATAAAGTATAGTAAAATCTCTATGTTTAAACATCTGTCTTGTCTGAACATCTTCATCCAAACACCTCTACAGATCAAACACCTGTCTTGTTCAAACAAATTTTAAGTTCAGTCACCTCCCTAGTCTGAACATCTCTCTTGTGTGAACATCTCTCTGTTCTGAACATCTCTTTTGTCTGGACACTTCTCTGTTCTGAACACCTCTCTTGTCTGAACATCTCTCTTGTCTGAACACCTCTCTGTTCTGAACATCTCTTTTGTCTGGACACCTCTCTGTTCTGAACACCTCTCTTGACTGAACATCTCTCTAATGTCTGAAGGCCTCTCTGTTCTGAACACCTCTCTTGTCTGAACATCTCTCTTGTCTGAACATCTCTCTTGTCTGAACACCTCTCTGTTCTGAACATCTCTTTTGTCTGAACACCTCTCTGGTCTGAACATCTCTCTTGTCTGAACACCTCTCTTGTCTGAACACCTCTCTGTTCTGAACATCTCTTTTGTCTGGACACCTCTCTGTTCTGAACACCTCTCTTGTCTGAACATCTCTCTTGTCTGAACACCTCTCTGTTCTGAACACCTCTCTTGTCTGAACATCTCTCTTGTCTGAACATCTCTCTAATGTCTGAACACCTCTCTTGTCGGAACACCTCTCTTGTCTGAACATCTCTCTAATGTCTGAAGGCCTCTCTGGTCTGAACACCTCTCTTGTCGGAACACCTCTCTTGTCTGAACATCTCTCTAATGTCTGAACACCTCTCTTGTCTGAACATCTCTCTTGTCTGAACATCTCTCTTGTCTGAACACCTCTCTGTTCTGAATATCTCTTTTGTCGGAACACCTCTCTTGTCTGAACATCTCTCTTATGTCTGAAGGCCTCCCTGGCCTGAACACCTCTCTTGTCGGAACATCTCTCTAATGTCTGAACACCTCTCTTGTCGGAACACCTCTCTTGTCTGAACATCTCTCTAATGTCTGAAGGCCTCTCTGGTCTGAACACCTCTCTTGTCTGAACATCTCTCTTGTCTGAACATCTCTCTAATGTCTGAACACCTCTCTTGTCGGAACACCTCTCTTGTCTGAACATCTCTCTAATGTCTGAAGGCCTCTCTGGTCTGAACACCTCTCTTGTCGGAACACCTCTCTTGTCTGAACATCTCTCTAATGTCTGAACACCTCTCTTGTCTGAACATCTCTCTTGTCTGAACATCTCTCTTGTCTGAATACCTCTCTGGTCTGAACACCTCTCTGGTCTGACAACCTAATAATCAAAACAATGGTAAGACTCGACAAGTGGTGGCTGGATTGGACAGGAGTTAACTGCATGCGGTAGAAATGAGTGGAATTAACAAGGAATAAAGGGAACTTTGTGTTGTGTAAAAATTCTTCAGGGAGACACAATTATATTAGAATTGGTGTGGAATTAACTTGTTAACGATGAGGAGAAAATACATGTAATCTATTTTAACCTAACTCCCACTACAAATCTATAATTAACAACTTATTGGATTTTGCCCAAGCCTTTTATGCTTTTCCTTTTGTTAGCAAACATTCAACAGTCAAGTCAAATAAAGGGAAAATGTTAGGTGTTGAGTGAATTTTCAGCAAATGGATAGAACTAATGTTATCCAAGAGCCTCAATTTAATGAGCGCATAGTGTTGTTTCCAAATTGAAAAGTAGAGAAAAAAATTTAGAAAAAATAATTTGCCAATGATCTTTTTATTTTATTTTGTTTTAGTTATTAACACGAAGGTTTACATACTCTACAGCTCCTGTATTTCTTTCTCTGCATTAAATATAATCATCAATCGATGTCTAGTAAATAATCAAAACTAATGCATTTAATTTTGTGTTTTCTTGAGACCATATTCAACATAAAAGTCACGTGTGCGCTTATTTGAACCGTGCCTTAGGGAAAGTACAATATCCAAGCTTGGGCTTCTATTACTTCTATTACTGTTATTTTTAGTAATCATTGAATAACAATACACAAATCCCTATTTGACAAGAAGATTGTTGAGTCGCCTTTCAAAGTAAGCAAATAATTTATGTAAAAATATCAGGAACGTATATGAAATAAGACCCTCTTTGTGCTTGTATTTTGAAAATCTCTTGTAATTATGAGGTATTATCTCCAAATAACACAAGGCATTTACTGTTTATTTCTGGCTCGAGCTTGGTTTAGCTTATAGGTTGTATTATATCAATCGTAATCTTTTTACAACCATAACTCAAACTTATTTCTACAGTTTTATGTCGAAGTCTGACATTTTCAACTTTTTGTACTAACGAGAGTATTTTCTTCAAATTATGGAACAATAAGTTCTAATTTGAAAACTTTCACTGTGATAACTGTTACGATGACTACATGATCAAAAAATGATGGCAATTTGGGGAATAATTATGGAAGTTCTACTTTCATTTTTAATGAAGCAATTGTAGATAGGCTAAATGAACCATAAAAACTTAAATTGTAGATAGGCATCATGATGCCAATTTTGAAATATTTATGCAACCATTTATTTATTTGTTTTTGCAATTTCCAATGTGATGTTTGGATTTATACATGTAGCATCATTTGAACATCAAGACTTGTCCCAAACGTCCCTGTATTATGACATACATTATAATCTAATCAAATCTGGTAAACTATGGGGTAATTTAGTTCCCATAATGAATCCTATGCAGATACTCATCGCATCTCTGTGGTTTTCAAACTAGCAAAGTAGAAAGAAACTGAAAGAATGAATCTACTATTTATTTTTATTTTGTTGTATTATATATGTTGAGTTTATATTTTTATTTTCAGAGGAAATGTCTCCCAAGGATGCAAAGATGCTGCAGGATCTGATGGCAGGTATGTATACATTTGGATATAAACTTTATTTCACTCTTCCTCGTGCATGTAGACTATGTGCTTTAGAAGTCCGGCCATCCTTTTCCAACAGTCTAGGGTAAAATATAGCAACTACTGCATTCCAACTTTAGAAAAATAATCATATAAAGATATTTTTCACTTCTCTTTGTTTATAAAAAATTGGGTTTGGAAACAGTGTTATCCTTTTGGAAATCAGTACACTGTAATCAAAATCTAAACCAACTTGCCCTACAATTTCTTATAGTACGTATATTTTCCTTTGATAACCATCATTAATGCATTTTCTTATTGCAAACTGCTCACATATTACGCAGTAAGAAAGTCACCTTAATTAAGTAATGGGTCAGAACACTGTTGGAAGATAATACATTAACAGAGAACAGAGCAAAGTATTTTAAAATGATGTCAATAGTATGAGAATAACATCCACAATATTCTTCCATCGACAAAGTCCTATTTTTGATATGCAAAGTGAAACATTTTGTATCTAGATATGACGTAGGTGAGTTAACTGAGTCGAATAGATTTTACTGAGACAAATTGATCCTGACATTTTTCCATTGAAAACATGAAAATGAAATCTAATAATGCTACTATATCCCATTTAATTCTGATTAATAGTCAGAGTCTCTCTTTTCTAAAGCTTGCTTATTCCAAAGGGTAGGTGAGACTGGATCCCACAATGATCCCATTTGGAAATATACATGTACCTTTTCTCAACCTACAGTGAAACCTGAATATCTGAACACATCTCTAATCTGAACACCTGAATTTGACCCAAAATCTCCCATTGACTTACATGTTTATAAAACCCTGAAATATGAACACCTAATAATCTGAACACTTTTAGTCCAAAGAGGTGTTTGGATTAGACAGGTTTTATACTGTATTTTTTATTAGATCATGGCCATGAACCTCTTCTTTTAGATCCATAAATGTGCTCTCATTTCGCAAAGGGTATTATGCTAAAATTAAATCATGAAAATATAAACCTGCCCCTTCCTAGATTTCAAGGAGTACTTATATTTCTACCCTGCACGGAGTCTAGTTATAAATTATAACTATAACTGAAGATGAAGCTATCTTTTAAGAAGTGAAGTCAAATGAATACAAAGGGTACTATATTTCAAGGAGTAACCCACAATGGTGATTAATGTAAACACCAATATTTCTTTGTTTTTCAGTCCCACACATTTGACACCATGTAAATGAGACTTCCAGCCTCAATGGCATTTTCAAGTATTTATATCTTTCTGAGTAGGCTTTAATTACAATCCATATTTGGCATCCTAGATTAGTAGACTGCTCTTATAAAAACATCAGTTCTCGCTCTTTATTGTGAAATTCCATATTTTCAGTAGAAAAACATTTTACTTTTCCAGATAAGAATCTATATGTATTTTACATAAATAATAGATACCGTTTTATGCCCAGTTTGATAGTAATGACAGAAATGGATTCAGAATTTTCAAACTTGTATACTGAAAGGTTTTTACAATATTGAGGTGGGGATATAGTCATGGTATAAGCCCACTGTTTAATAATGATTTTCAGACTTTGTTCTATTGATTTACAATGACTCTACTTTACCAGTTTACCCATTTATAAAATTCAAAACATCTAATTTGGCCAATAATCCCAAATGTTGCATTATACCTGGTAAAAGTGCTTAATCTCAAATGGATGATGGTATAAAATAAAGAAGAGAAGACCATATTTTTATTAGTTTTCTTTACGAGGCGTCATCTTACCTACTGCCTTGGAAAAGCCAAGACAATGTAGGCGTGGTAATCGCGTAATTCTAAAAAATAACTAGTATTTATTTTGAGCACAGTTACAATTATTGGAAACGTATATGCTTCCTCTGTTATGAGATCTAAGATATAACCTGTAGGCTTTCATTATAAAGCAGTATCTTTGAACTATGAGTTGGAAAGTGTTTAGTATCATGATATTAAAGACAAGATTGATCAAGAATCTTTGAAGTAGGATGTGCATTTGTAGCTTGGTCAGAGATACCATATTTAAACCTTTTAAGACTACCCAGAGTGATGAGATCTCTCGTCACCTTTGAAATGACCATGAAAGCCACGAGTGACAAGATATTCTGTCCCAATTTTTTTCACTAAAAATGCTCTAATATGGATAATTTTCATCCAATTCAAAAAATCTTTTAAAATGTGTAGAAATGATCTCTGACCACTTATTTCACTCAATTAGGCATCACCTGTTGTATAAGTATGTAGTAAAATATCAAAACCTGGCAAAAATCAAAAATTCTCTGGTTTCAAACTGATTTCGGAGCTTGCGAATTAAGAGGTTAACCAGCGAACGATTATGTAACTTGAATAAACAGCTTTGAAGTCCATTTCTGAAATCTGAATTAGCCACTATGGATGCCCATTAAACTTGATTGAGCTATCAATTCAACAAACCATGGAAAATTGATCCCATTTGATATTCTTAGCTGTTCTTACCTCATGAACTAAAAAGTAGTAATTAGAAGACAAGATGAAGATAACTTCCTACTCTACCATTGTAGAAAGATAGAAAGTGTCAAATCAAGTTATTTGATAATAAAGATGACTCTACCTGACGTTCAAGTAACTGTCAGTTATTCCATTTGGTTTCTGGTTTAATATGTCATAATTTTGCCTTGAAATGAAATGGGATGAAATAGGCAAATGAATATGGAATCATATTACCTCAAAATCGACAGAAGTTGTACGTACATCATCAAAACAATTGCTAAGCTGACAGCTTGCTTGATCGGTATTTCTATGGTGAGATTCAACAATCAATAAGGCAAATGGACAAACAAATGTGAGAGCTTTATATGGTCCTGACATCTATTGAGAGAATTGTATGGTCCTGACATCTATTGATAAATTACATTGAAATTATGATGATTGAGCTGTTTATTTTTTGTAAAAGGTATAAGGTGTGTATCTAGTTTATGAAATTATGCAGGATTTGCCAAGGGGGATTCAGTTTTGAAAAATTTCAAGGGGGGGTTCACAATTGACAGTTTTGGTCCAAATATGGCTAAAATCACTTGAGAAGTACTCAAAATGGTGAAAAACTGCATGATTTTGAAAGAATTTTTGGCCAGGGGGGGGGGTTTGCCCAAACCCTGCGAAGGTTATAGGAGGTCATAGTCTATGCAAGTGTGTGGCTATAGTTTATGCAAATGTGTGACTATAGTTTATGCAAATGTGTGACTATAGTTTATGCAAATGTGTGACTCTAGTCTATGCAAGTGTGTGGCTATAGTTTATGCAAATGTGTGACTATAGTTTATGCAAATTTGTGGCTTTAGTTTATGAAAACCCAAATACCTTCTTGTATTACAAAAACATTCTGCTTAATACTAGCTATGAGATGATTATGACTTTTAATATACATCCCAGCGTTGATTGGTCTCATATTGCACCTGACCATATCATATCATATGAATGGATATCATATGTTTATGTACTAATGAGCAATTTGCACTTCACAGTATCCACCCCAGGCTCCTGTTCAATAGTAATTGAAGTAGGAATTATAAGCCAAGATCCTCATGTAGAGAATCTAATATGACATCATTCAGATACAAATTGTTACTGTGCTTTTATTGTTCGAGCTGACAGTTTGCGAAAGTAGACACTGTCTCTTTGTATTATATTGCGTCTTCTTGAAAGCCATAGCAACGCGAAAGGTGCTGTCATTTAGTCATTATTCTGATATTGTGTCCTTTTAGGTTTTCTCTTGTATGACATAAAGGGAACACAAGATCAACAACGTTATTAGAAATACTGCCGTTCTTTTATTTAGGCATCAAGGGTTCTTTAGATAGTATTACAACTCAATCCCCATTTGACACTAGTATTCTTTTATTTAGGCATCAAAGGTTCTTTAGATGATATTACAATTCAGCCTCCATTTGACACTATCATTAAAGTATTTATTTCCAACGTGATAACTCCTTCGTCTATGCAATATTCATCCTTGAAAAACCTTATGGCATCAGGCAGAAAGTGAATCTCATCAAAAATACAACTTTTATGTCCCCACCACAAGTGGTGAAATTCTGTTATAGTCTCTAACTTTTTTGTGGATGGCTGTCTGGCAGTCAGCATTCAGAGTTCAGCATCTGTTACAAATGGCTGGTAGTGACATTTTGCATGTATATTGTTTTCTTTTTTGATGCAAAAAAATGCAATTATGACATTATGAATGTGTAATAAGGCTCGTGTTATTCAGATTTGTATATTCCTTTTATTCTTTTCTGTTGATATTCAATCATATTATCTCAAAGGATGTCATGAAGGAAAGATCTGAGACAACAGACTTAATATTTCTGCTGACTTTTCCTTTGAAATTACTTCTGATATAGGAGGATTCCTTGAAAAATTATTTTACCTTCGATAATTTGCATGTTTAACGTAACATAGAGAATATTATATATCAGTCTTTTATTTTTTCGATAACTTTTTCAAATCTTTTCAAAAGTTTTTTTTCAAATCAATTTTATGCATATGTATACAATAGATTGTGGAAAACTAATTGAGTTGGTAAGCTGACTCCAGCCTTTTAATACGTAATACGTAATATTCTTACAGTTTATCCTGCAGCTATTCACGATGCCGTATTATGTGGATTGCCAGACAGATTTTCCTTTGGGTAGTTAGCCTACCAAAGTCTGAAAAAGATATAGAGAAGCCATGTATCCATCCATTCATGTATTCATTCATTCATCTATCCTAATGATACCTCAAATACCGATTGACAGATTGGGTTCAAACTCCACTTTAGAAGGACTCAATATGGCCAATCAATGTAAAATGTAGTCTTTGATTACTCAAATACTGGATGACAGATTTGGTCAAATTTTATGTGCTAATACCTTATGCACCTTAAGGACCTCTGGTCAAGAAGAAGTTTTCAAGATGGCCACTGAATTCAAAATGGGCATGACTTTCATAAAAAAGTGAAAG